GCCCGGCACAGAAGCGGTGCGGAGCACGGGCAGATCTGCCTGTGTGCATGGGGACCTGCTTCCGCTGCCATCTCAGCTGCGAGGTGAAGCCACAGCACCTTGTCCTGTGTACCCCTGGCTGGTTTCTCAGCGCCCTAGCCAGGAGCTGGTTGTCCTGATGCCCACGGCCACACAGGCAGCAGCACAGTTCCACGGGGTGGGGGACAGTGCCACAGGGTGGCATCCTGGTGACCACAGCGTGGGGCTGGGGCCCTCTGGGCATCAGGCCCCCTGCCTGGCCTCCGCCGCTGTGCTGCCCGCCCCCACCCGCACCTGTCTTTGGCCCAGTCTCTCCACTAGAGTCAGGACCCTGGGGAGACAAAGGCGATGGACACAAACAAACGGCAGAGCCCACAGGGAGGAGCAAGGCTAATCCGCGGGCTTAACTCAGCCCAGAGTCAACAGCCCAGACGGGAGGAGGGGCATCCGGCCGCTCATGACTCCCAAAGCTGCTGCTGCCCAGCAACTCAGACTGCAAACAGCGCTCCCCCATGGAGCGGCCGCCCACTCGAGACAAAGGTTAGCAATCGCAGTCAAGGGGCCACCGATGGCCCCGCCTGAGCTGCACCCTGCGCACTGTGACAGCACCTACAGAGGCCCCAAACCAAAGGCCTCCCTGACTAGCAGGACTGCCCGTTCCACGGCAATGCCCAGTTCCCCCGCCGCGGCCCCCGGCTCTCCTGAGCTCACGGGGAGAGCAGTGCTTCCTGGGGTCAGCCCCCTTCCACTCTGTCCTTGTGTCCCCAGCCGTCCTCCCCACCTGCCGTCTAGAGGACATAGAAGCTGGTGTGCCGTTGCGGGAACCTAAGCGTTACCTTCTGTCACCCCTCCATGGCCCGCTTGGTTCTGGCCATAGCCAACCCCACGACCGAAGGTTTGCAGGCAACAAGAGGGTGAAGCCGGGCGCCGGGCACAGGGTGGGTCTCGTCCGCCAGGGGCACCTTTGTGGGTGAGGCGGACAGAGAGTAGGGGACACCAGCCCAGCCTGGTTTCCTGTGCTCTTCTTCCTTTCAGGCCTTGCGAGGAGAGGGTCTCCCAGCACCCCAGGGCCGTGGCTGTCCCCATGTGGGACAGGTGTCTCCTAAAGGCCAGAGTGTCTGTGTGCATCCCTCTGCGAGGACTGGACATGGCCCCTCCAGACCACAGGGTCCTGACCGTGACTCAGATTGGACGACACAGTCTGAAGGGACAGCTTGGGCTGCACAGGCAGTGTCCACCTGGCCATGGAGGTGCTGCCACAGCTGTCCCAACCACAGCCTCAGAGGGGACAGGTGGACTTTCACCTGCTTCGGTGGGCAGCCTGTTGGCAGAGGGGACCCCTTGTGGCCCCAGGCTTGGGTGCTGAGGTAGATGTGGTGATGACCCTTCCCTGAGCAAGTCGCAGACCTGTGGTCCTGGGCAGCGGGGCATTTGTCCCTTCCTGTGCACGCAGTCAGCTCAGATGCGCCTGAGCTGCACTCCTGAACAAGGAAGTGGCCAGGGCTGGGCTGGGGTGGGCTCAATAGTGAGCACTCCCCAGCGTGGGAGAGAGGCTCCGGGATTGAATTTGTGATCCTCCTGCCTCAGCTTCCCCGAGAGCCAGGATTATAGCCATGTGACACTGCACCCAGCTATAACTCAACTTAGAGAGTAACTTGGTGACATGTGTGCACTCCGCAGAGAGACCGGCATCCCACAGCCCCTCGAGGCACAGCCCGATGACCATCCTTCCTCCGACAGAGAGCTCCAGGCACAAAGCCTTCACCGCCTGGACTCTGGGGCTCCAGACCCAGTGGCAGGAGGCTGAGGCAAACATGCACGCCCAGCCCCGAGAAACTGAACAGGGGAATCAAGGTGCTGCACTGCCCTGGAGCTCCCTGCACAAGCGCGGCGAGGCGGTGTCCACTCTACATGCCAGAAAGAGTGTTTGCGTGGGAAATGTAATAGAAGTTGTATCTAAAAACAAATACATCCCAGGCGTGATGGCGCAAGCCTGTAATCCCAGCACTCAGGGGGCTGAGGCAGGAGGACCACTGAGTACAAGGCCGCCTGGGCTACACAGTGAGACCCTGTCTCAAAAAAAGAAAAAAGAAAAAGGAAGGAAGAAAGAAAACAAAACAAATACATCAGAATTAAAATTTAAGCAATTTTATAAAATAATGAAAGAAAAATTCCCAAGATACAGTGCTAAGTAAAAACCATGTGCAGAGCTGAGTATGGGGGCTGTACACTTGCAATCCCAGCACTCTAGGAGGCTGAGGCAGGAGGATCACATGTTCAAGCCCAGCCTGGACAACTTAGCATGAACCCATTTCCAAATAAAAAACTAAAAAGGGCTGAGTGTGAGGGCCCTGGGTTCAGTCCCCATGAATGAGAAGAGGCCCAGCCCTCAGGACGTGGAGGCAAGGAGCAGGCAGGGAGTGTGTGGGGGGCGGAAATCACATGTGCCCAATAGCCAGGGGCAAACGGTGTCCCCCGAAGCGAGCTTCCCCTCCACGGAGCAGGCATGGCCTTCCTCAGTCCAGCGTGGCCAGGGGTGGGGTCCTCAGGCCACGGGGTGGATATGTGGGGACACAGGACCCGAAGCCCTGTGCACCCACCATGCCACCTACAGTCACCCCAGACATCCTCCTCGCCAGTGGTGCCCCGCAGCCTGCTTGGCTGTCACCCTTGGGGGGGGCACAGTGTTTCCACAGGCGTAGTCTTCCTGATTATTTTTGCACACAATTCTAGTAAATGCCAAGGGTTCACAGAGTTTGCGACCACCTGGTCTGCCTCAGTTCTCAGAAGGAAACCAGCCACCAGCACCCGCCCCCCGTCCCCGCTGAACCTGGCAGGCTGCCATGAAGGCAGTGGGGATGGAGACCCAGATCCCCTGGCCGGACCGTGAGCTCACCCAAGGAGGAAGTCAGCCATCTCGGCTGCTCGGGGACAAACTGCAGAGGAGACGGGCGTAGGAGGGCAGGTGGGGCCCTGGTGTTGGTCAGTGTGCTGACCCTCTGCCTGGGCCACCCGGGGGATCTGTGCTGAGGGCACAGCTCAGGGAAGCAGGGCCTGGGCAGGTCACATCAGGGCAGGTGGCATCCTGCTGAGCGCTGGAGGGTCCCCTGGGTGCCCATCCTCACAGATGGCTGCCAGAGGACCACCAGGGTGCCAGAGAACATGTGAAGCCCCAAGGAGCTGCCCAGGCCGGGACACCCAGCCATGAGCCCGGGCGGAGGGCCGCCTGCAGTGGGGCCATGGTGGGGGAGGGGGGCGCCAGGCTGCAGGGGCCCAAGTCCTGCCCCTCCCCGCTGGCGTCAGCCTCTGCCAGGCCATCTCCGGTCTACTCAGGAAACGACAGGGTGCGGGGCACTGCGGATTTGCAGGGATTTACGCACAGGATGTGGGGTTCAGTGCTCCAGGGCGCCGTGCTCAGGGGTCTGGGCCAGCTGGGCCACCCTTCCCACTGCCCAGGCAGGAGCTTCTAGAAGGTCTGGGGTACAGAGAGAGCCCAGGGTTCCAAGCCAGAGCTGTGTGGCAGGGACCCTGCCTCTGCTGGGCCTCACCCTGCACATGGCCGTCGGTGGGGGACACAGCCCCGTTGTCCACACCGTCCTGGCCCCCCCATGCCCTGGCCCCCGACATCCTGGGGATCTGCCTCCACCCTGCCTTGTCTCACCTCTGTATCTCCCTGTCTCTCCTCTCTGTCTCTGAGTCCCTGCCTATTTCCGTCTCTGTGTGTCTGTCTCTCTGCCTCTGTCTGTCTGTCTTTGTCACTCTCGCTGTCTGTGTCTCTGTCTGTCTGTCTCTGTCTCTCTCTCTGCGTCTCTGTCTGTGTCTCTGTTTTTGTTTCTCTCTCTCTGTGTGTCTCTGTCTGTCTCTGTCTCCCTCTCTCTCTGTGCCTCTGTGTGTCTCTGTCTTTTTCTCTCATGCTGCCTGTGTCTCTGTTACTGTCTCTGTCTCTCTGTGTCTGTCTGTGTCTCTGTGTGTCTCTGTCTCTTTGTCTCTCTCTGCCTCTGTCTATTCCCGTCTCTCTGTCTCCAGAGCAATGTCTCTGGTGGCCCCGCCCTGCCCCATCCTCTCAAGCCAGCCAGTCCCAATGCCTTGACCTTTTCCTGTGGCCTCCACCCTTTCCAGGCTCCCAGTGGGTGGGGGCAAAGGTCAAGGCCTGGACCTCCCAGCCTTGCGCAGTGACCCCTTCCCTTCCATGCGGTGGGGGACAGGCCCTACCTGGCCATTGTCCGGCAGCTCTCAGGAAACCATCCCAGGGAGTGCTACAGGTTCTGGGAAGGGGCAGGGACACCTGGGGGAGGGTGGTGGCGAGTTGCTCACCTGGGAAGGAGACTCCCATGGGGTGGTCCAGAGGCCTGGGGGAGCCGCCCTGAACCCCACCCTGCCTCTATCTTGGCTTACACATAACCCTAGGGTGGGAGCCCCTCCTGGGCCTCCAGCTGGAAGGGCAGTGGGGTGTTGTGCTTCAGCCTTTCCAGGGCCATCACTCAGCCCGAGGGCTCTGCCCCTGGCCCCTCCTAGGCTTGGGGCACCATCTCCCACCAGTCAGGGGCCCAGCCCTCCAGAAGGGTTTGGAGCCAGACGGGCAAGCTCTGCTCTCACAAGAACAGCCCTTCATGGCCCCACTGAGCCGGGGTTGGGGAGCTCATCTGCCACCTGTGCTGGGGGCTGGGATGGGACCCTCCACAGCAGGGTGTGCAACCAGACCCCAGGCAAGAGGAAGGAGGCTGGGGCTCCCAGGGGTGGCCGCTGGGTGTCTGCACAGGGGGAGGGACCGGGCGGGGAGGGGGGCGGCTCCGACCAGCAGGACCTCACAGATAAGGCATTAACAGCGCAGGACGCGCCCCGTGGATTTGCTGACGCCTCCTTTTGCCCAGGTGCCTGGGGCGAGGTGCCAAAGGTTCTCTATAAAGCACCCGGGCTCCAGCCTACCACTCACCCACTCCTGCTCTGCCCGACACACCAGCCCTGCTCAGCCAGCGACCACCATGGTGCGGCTTGTGCTGCCCAACCCCGGCCTGGAGGACCGAATCCCGTCCCTGGACGCACTGGACACCATTGAGGAGAAGGAGGCTAGCTCACGGCCCCAGTGGGACAACAAGGCCCAGTACATGCTGACCTGTGTGGGCTTCTGCGTGGGGCTGGGCAACGTGTGGCGCTTCCCCTACCTGTGCCAGAGCCACGGAGGAGGTAGGCTGCGTCTGGGCCGCGCGTGAGGGAGGGCGGCCAGCGAGGACGGCACAGCCCGGGGCTGCAGGTGGGGCCCCACACACTGCCGGCACCTCAAGGACACAAGTAGGGCCCCCACACGCCCTCGGCACCCCAAGTCACAGACGGGGCACCCATGTGTCCTCAGCACTCCAAGGTCCCAGTGGGTCCCCTTGTGCCCTCACTCCCGAGGTCACAGAAAAAGTCCTACTTACCTCTGCACTCCGAAGTCGCGTGCCATCCCACAAACCCTCAACAGTCTGAGATCACAGCAGGGTCCCCACGTACCCAGTGTCAGAGCTGGGGGCCCCGTGTACCTCAGCACCCCATTTACAGAGAGAAGAGGAAGAGATGAGGAGCTGGGGCTGAGTCCGAGCCCGAGGGTGAGCGGAGGAGGGGACAGGGCCGGACAGGGCTGCCTCAGTGTAGGGCAGGCAGCCCGGAGCCGGGGAGCAGCGCCGTCACTCTCACTGGCAGGCTTATCCCATGCCGCTGCTGTGCTCCTTGGGGTGGACCCCCACCACCTCCCCCATCCAGTGTGGGTCTGAGCCCCCCCCAGTGGTCCCAGCTATGCACCCAGGAGGTCCGGTGGGCACATTTGCTGTGGTCACAAGCGTGGCCCCTACAGGTGGCCTTAAACCTCAGCACGGCTGTCCCCAGAACGCGGCATGCAGGTGGCTGGGGTGGGACCCTCCATACCACTCTGACCCGGGGCTCCGGCTGGGTTCGGCGCCAGGCTCCGGGGGCAGGGCAGCCGGGCAGGCCTGTGCTGGCCTGGAACCTGTTCAGCAGGTGCCGTGTACCTCGGGGCAGGGTGTCACAGACACTTCCAGAGAGACCCAGATGAGGATGTATGGCCGCACCCACAGCCTTGGGATGTGAAGGCCCTGAGAGATGCCAGTGTGTCCACGGCTCCGCCTGAGAGCTGTGTGCCACGCGGCCATCTCCGTCTTGGTCCAGGGCCTTGGGCCCCAGCAGAACCAGGCTGGGCGTCCGGATCTCCTACTCCCAGCCCTCCCCTGCCCGCCAGCCTGCTGGGGTCTATGCCATGAGCAGAAGCAAGACAGCACAGTGGGGAAAGCTGGGTGGCAGGGACCCCTGGAGTCAGGGACCTGGGGGCTGTGCAGTGGTCCAGGATGTAGGCGAGGCTCGGACACCTGTCTGCCAGGGGAGCAAGCTCTCCAATCTGCGTTTGGGGGAGAATTTGTGGAGACCCCAGCCTCATAGGTGGCTGCTCCAAGCCACAAAGCTGGGGACCGTGGCACTTTATAGAGCCCGGTGGGCCTCTGAGGACACAGTATGGTGTGTTGTACAGTGGGTAGTGCTGAGGACTGGTGCTTGGACCCTCAAAAGACAGTGGGATCAGGGCCCAGAGGGGGCCAGTGAGGGCAGAGCAAGGTCCTGGGAAGCCCAGGGCCCATGGTGGCCCCACTACCGAGCGCACACTCACAGGCTGCTTACCGAAGGCCCTGGACAGGCCACCCTGCCCCTCTGAGGCTGGGTCACCTCCTCCATTGCCAACACCATTGAGCAATGGCAGCGCACTGGGGCAGGTCGTCCCTGCTGGAGGCATGGGTGCTCATCGGACCACACCCTCAGACAGATGACGGCCTGAAGGAATGAAGCCAGGAGACTTCAGGGGGGTGGGACAGACAGACAGCAAGACTCGATCTGGTCTCCTCAAAAGTGCTCTCGAGGTCACAGTGTGGGTCCCGAGGACTTTAATCCAAGCCGCAGCTCTGCATGGCCGGCAGGAACCAGCAGAGAGGGCCTGCAGTGGCCCTGGGTTGTCGCTGGGACTTCAGAGAAGCAGTCTTTTCAAGGACTTGGGGGACATAGGTCCCTTCCACAGGCTCTGGGGGATCTGAGGCTGTGGCAAGCATGGACTCAGAACAGGGGGGGCGCTGGCAGTGGACGAGGGGGCAGGTACCTGGCTGGGTGGGTGCAGACCCAGGGCCGCCCCTTCGGAGGACCACACAGCCGCTGGCAGCCAGCAGTCTTTCCAAAACCTCCTCTTCCTCTGTCTCCTCCTCCTGTCCTGCCTGCTTCTCCCCCCGTCACGCACACACTTTTCCTGACTTTCTTCCTAGTTTCGAAACTTCCCCAACAGACAGACAGAGCTGCATTTCCGGGCTGAGCTCACCTCCCTTCCTCTGCACTTTCCCTGGAGTCAGGTCCCTGGCTGCCCTGCTCTGCCTGAGTGTCCATCGTCTGTGTGCAGAGCGGATGCCTGTGACTCCAGGCAGCACAGGTCGCCCTGCTCAGGGACCTTTGCCCACACAGGCCCCATCCCAGGCCCCTTCTGCGGTTCCCGCACCTCCTCCTCCAGCCCTGTCACCCAGGAAAGCAGCCCCACTGTGTGCCTAGCCTTGCCCATAGGCTGGAACTCCTGAGGTTTTGAGCAGTGCAGTTCCTGGGGACAGCAGGGGGTCCCAGTGGACAGGGTCCCTGGCCGGAGCCTCGGTGTCCAGGGAAGCGGAGTCTTGGGTCTGCACACCCCAACCTCAGGCACCTCAAGGCGTCAGCCCCAAGCTCTGTCCTGATAAAGCACTGTGACCTTTGGTAGGTCTGCTCGGGTCCCGAGGACAATCACTGCACTCCAGGCTGGATTGAGCCTGCACCCCACCTCGGGCAGAGCTGGCCATTTATGCTCCCAGTTCAGTGGCACTAAGTGCATTCAAAAGGCTGCACGGCCATCACCACGTCCACCTCTGGAGCACTCTTCTCTCCCTGACCCAAAGCTGTGTCCCGTGCCACTGCAGCCTCCCGTCCTCTCAGCCAGAGCACAGGGCGCTCAGGGAGTCAGTGTTTGTCCCAGCGACCTGCTCATCCTGAGGAGCACCCCGTCCTCTGGCTCGCCTGGATGGCTCTGTGTCAGGATTTCCTTCCTTCCTGGCCAAACGGCATCCCCTGCAGATGGCAGTTTGTCACAGTGGACATGGGGGGTCTTCCACCCCTGTGGCCTGCCAAAGTGCTGCTGGGCGCAGTGGTGTTCAACAGCATCTGAGGTTCCGCTTCCAGTTCTTCAGCGGAGGTGCTGGGTCCCACAGGAGCGCCTGTGTTTGGGTTTTTGGTAAAGAACCACCCTGTTTTCGACAGCAGCTGTCCCCACTCACATTCACCGACAGGGGTTCCAGCTTCTCCACATTTTGATTCTGCTTATTTCTTTTTTCTTTCCTCTTTCTTTTTTCAGTACTGGAGATGGAACCCAGGAATTGAATGCTGAGCTATACCCCCAGCCCTTCTATTTTTGAGATAAGGTCTTGCTATGCCACCTACACTGCCCTTGAATTTTCAGTCCTCCTGCCTCAGCCTCCAGAGCAGCTGGGGTAACAAATATGCACCGCTGTGCCCCACTCTGTGATAGGAGGCTCCTAACGGGGTGAGGTGATATCCCACTGCAGCCCTAGCCTGCATTTTCCTAACGGTGAGGAAGGCGGCACGGCCTTCAGTGCTTCTCCGCCCATCCTGTCTTCCCTGGAGAAGCGGCTGTGCGAGTCCTGTGTGGTGTTTGTGTTTTTGTTGCTGTTGCTGTTGAGTTTTAGGCATGTTCTGGACACAGATCTCTTGCCAGAGACATAGCTAGCAGAAATTTTCTCACCCCTCCACAGGTTGCCTTTGTACCCTGCCCCTGCTGTTTTGGATACAGGACACTGTTCTGGTTTTTTTCCTTTTGAGATTGGGTCTCACTATGCAGTTCAGGCTGGCCTTGAACTCACTTTGTAGCCCAGGCTGGCCTCAAACTTGCAACGATCCTGCTACCTCAGCCTCCTGCGTGCTGGGATTACCACCACCACGCCCGGCCTATTTTGGTGTGAGTCGTACTATACAGTTCAGGGTAGCCTTGAACTCACAGTGATCCTCCTTCCTCCATCTCCTGAGTGCAAGATTACAGGTGTGCGCCACCACACCCAGCCAGGATACATGGCATTTAAACATCTTTCCCTCACTCGGTTCTTGCAGAAAGGGAGCACACACGCTCACTGTTGACAGGGCTGACTGAAGGTGTGCGAAGGGCGGCTCTCTCGAAGCTGCAGGATGGTGGGCTACAGGTGACAGAAGAGGGGAAGCCCTCCGCGGTCATTCGCATGCACCTCACTGTTTAGAGGACAAGGTGATGCCACAAACACAGATGCCACCTGAGAGTGTGCCCCAGGGGTCCAGGTCACTAGCGAGCCAGCCTCTCTCGCATGACCCCAGTGTCCAGCCGGGTGGCGACATGGCCCATGAGCGTTACAGGCAGGTGGAAGCCAGCACCCTTTGCTGGCCAGCACAGCAGCCCCTCAGCTTCTGGGGCTCCCAGCCAGCGGGGGCTGGGTGGCCCCCACCTGGGAGGCCCAGCCGTGGTCCCGGGCTGTCCCCTGCACAGCCTTGCTCCAGCTCGGTGGTGACACTGTCCAGGTACACAGGTACTGTCCACCGTGACACAGCAGCACCAGGTCCCCGTGGCCGCCTGGATGTGCACACTGCTCCAACCCTACTTGCAGCCAAAGCTCTTCTCACTGGAGGTTGCGGGCCGTGGCCGTCCTCAGTGCAGGCCTCTGCAGCAAGGCCTGTCCCCAGGTAGCCTCCAGCTCTGACTGTGACCTATGCCTGCTTCTCCCCACAGGGGCCTTCATGATCCCCTTCCTCATCCTGCTGGTCCTGGAGGGCGTCCCCTTGCTGTACCTGGAGTTCGCCATTGGCCAGCGGCTGCGGAAGGGAAGTGTGGGCGTGTGGAGCTCCATCCACCCCGCTCTGAAAGGCATAGGTGTGTGCCTCGGGCCCCTGGCCTCCCAGACCCCTGGGCAGGAGGACCCAGGCTGGCACTCCAGAGGCCTCAGAATCCTTACAGCCCACATCTGGGCTGGGCTGTCCTGGTCACCAGGACCCAGCCAGGGCAGCAGCGGCCCTGATTCCCCACAGCCGGGCCGGGCGGGAGGGTGGCCCCACAGAGAGGAGCAGAGCGACTGACCTGCAGCTCACAGCGGGCTCTGCAGGGCCCTAGGGCCAGAAGGGGGCGCTGGCCACCCACCCTCGACCTCCTGTTTGCACACCAGCTCCAGGCCTCAGTGCTGAGCCAGCCCCAGGGCTGGTCACTCATTCACCGGCTCCAACCTGGGCAGCACCCTTCCGCTTCATCAAGGACACCACGGCTCACTGAGGTCCCAAAATACGGGCGGGCAGAAAACAGCAGGAGCTGGGGCAAAGGGCAGGGTCCAGGGCCAGGAGCTCAGTGCAGGGCCCGCTCTATCCACACCTGCACAGCAGCGGGCCCGGCTCGCAGCCTCCACTGCCCTCCACCTCGGCCCTCTCTACCACATCTCCCGCCGCTCCTTCCGCCCCTCTCCTCCCCGTCTCCCTCTCTCCCACAGTCGCACACACACATTGGGTTTTGAGTCTCACGTTTCTGAAGATCAGGAGTCTGGACCACCTCAGTCCTGCCTCACTGTCCCTGAGGGTGGAGCCCACTCACTGCCCACTGCCCTCCCTGCGGCCGTCTCCAGTCCCCAGCGAGGACAAGGCTTTCCCTGCCTTGTCTTGGGGCTGGCCGGCTCCTCCAAAGCCTCTGCAGGAGCCGTGGCCTCCCCCTGGACACACCACGGGCTACAGGCAAAGGGGAGAGGGAAAGGATGCTGATCCCCTCAACCCCAGGTCACACAAGGGACCTCAGACAGACCCGGCAGCCAGCGGCCCTCCTCGTGGCCCACAGTGACACCCCGCCCCCACAGGCATCGCGTCCATGCTGGTGTCCTTCACGGTCGGCCTGTACTACAACACCATCATCGCCTGGGTCATGTGGTACTTCTTCAACTCCTTCCAGGAGCCCCTGCCATGGAGTGAGTGCCCACTGAACCAGAACCAGACAGGTGAGCACTCAGCCCCCGCGCTGTCCCCATCCCTGTCCCCGACAGGGCCTTGCTAGCAGTCACGTCTTGTGAACAGTCACCCAGCACTCTCCTAGGATCCGGCTGCTCACAGACCAGGGCTGGCCAGATCCAGAGCCCCTTCCAGGCCGCAGGGCAATGACAGGCTTCACTGTCCTCGGAGAAGCCGTGTGCATGGCGACGCCCTAGGCCCATGCCTGGGGCCAGATGAGCACTTCATCTTTTCGCTGGGGATTCCAGGGAGAGCAGGGGCTGTGACAGAGGGACCCACTCACAAGAGCCACTCTGCTGCCTGTACCCGTGCCCCCCACCTGGGCCGCTCCCAAGGAGAGAGACACAGGCTCAGCTCACAGGGACCCACAGGCTACAGAGGGCACGAGTGGCCTCCTTGGTGACCTCAAGTCCGACAGGACATGCTGCACAAACCCTCCCTGTGTGGTGGGCAAAGGGGACAGGATCAAGGGTGGGCAGATGCCCTCCCAGGTGCCCCTCACTGCTCACTGGGCAGACTCTTCCCCTAGGGGGCTCACAATGGTTCCTGTAGCCGCCAGAAGTCCATGGTGGCAACAGGGTGTGCAGCTGGGCAGCACAGGCCCGAGCCCCACAGATCCACAGCCCCTGCGCTGCCAAGGAACCTGCCTGGGACGTCACCGGTCACAGGAGCCAGGCAGTGCAGCAGGAGGCCATCAAGGCCAGGCGCACACAGCACAGTTAGTGAGTGTGCCAGTGCATGTGTGTGCAAGGGTGCAGGTGCATTCACATGAACGAGTGTGTGCATGAGTGTGCCTGGTTGTGCTTGTGTCCATGTGTGTGTGAGCATGCAGGTACATCCACACGTGTGTGTGCCTACGCATGCATGCCTGTGTTGCGTGCATGTGTGTGCAAGTGTGCAGGCTGTGCTTGTGTGCATCTGTGTGCCCATCCTGGTCCATGCTTTGGGCTGGCTGGTGTTTCTGGAGCTTGGGAGCCAGAGCTGCCTGTGCACATGGACCTGCCCTCTTGGTGCCCCCACCGTGAAGCATGCACATGGCCACCTCCCCAGGCTACGTGGACGAGTGTGCCAGGAGCTCCCCTGTAGACTACTTCTGGTACCGTGAGACCCTCAACGTCTCCACCTCCATCGACCATTCGGGCTCCATCCAGTGGTGGATTCTGCTGTGCCTCACCTGCGCCTGGAGTGTCCTGTATGTGTGCACCATCCGTGGCATTGAGACCACCGGGAAGGTATGGGTCAGGCTGCCTGCTGTGCCCGGTCCTTGGGACCTTGATCTCGGGGCTCCCACACCCTCTGTCAGGGCTGCCAAATGGCTCAGCTGGAGGCCCAGGGATTTTGTGCAGCCGAGACAGCTCCCAAACACACTCCAAAAGCTCGTGTAGCCCTAAACATCTGTCTAGTCGGGAGAGCCGAATAGTGGTGACACAGGACAGAGCGGGATGTCCCTGCACTGGAGCCTGGGCCCCGCCCTGAGGTCTGGCCTCTGCCCACACTGGTCATCCCCATGCTCTGACCCCACTTACAGGCCGTGTACATCACCTCCACGCTGCCCTACGTCGTGCTGACCATCTTCCTCATCCGTGGCTTGACACTGAAAGGCTCCACCAGTGGCATCGTCTTCCTGTTCACACCCAACGTGAGTCCCTGTGTCCAACCTGGGCTTGGACCTGTGGGAGAGGCCCCGGTGGGGCAGGCTCTCTCTTCCCCTGTGCCCTGACCTCTACTCCAGCTCCCAGGACAGGTGGAAGCAGTCTGCTGCCACCTAGGCAAGTCCCGCGCTGGGGCCAGGCCCTGAGGGACGGCTGTCCATGGTCCTCACGCTGCGTGCAGGGTGTGGCTGGTCAGCCTGACTTCGCTCTCCTTGTGCAAGGAGCCACCACCAGGGGAGGAACCCGCTGCCACCTGCCCTCCCCGACCGACCTCAGGCTCGGGTCTCCTCCCCGGCACCCCTCCTTGGCCTCGGTGGCTCTGGCTCACGCAGTGTGCAGCTGAGGTCTCTGTTGACACAGATCAGGGAGCTGGCCAACCCGGTGACCTGGCTGGACGCAGGCGCCCAGGTCTTCTACTCCTTCTCGCTGGCCTTTGGGGGCCTCATCTCCTTCTCCAGCTACAACTCCGTGCAGTGAGTCCTGGGGTGGGAAGGTTCTCGGGTGCAGGGAGCCGTGCCTCAGTTTCCCCAGGTGTGAGGGTGAGTGGGAAAGGGTGCAAACACCGGCCAGCACGGTCCCTGCCTGTAGGGTGTAGGTTCTCTGCTGGGGGCGTGTGCACACAGCACCCAAAGTCAGGCTGGCTCTTGAGGGGTCTCTCCCAAGGTCCCTGGAGCTAGGCCCTGGGCTCCTGGTGCCCGCCGACCCAGTCTCCATACCTTCCACCCCCGGCTCACGCGGGTACCTCAGTACCTGGTATGTGGTGCTCCGAAAGCCCCCACAGACCCAGGTGGGACCCTGCAGGCCCGTGCTTCCACCAGACTCCACCCGCATAGGGCCTCCATGCTGAGCCTAGGGCGCTCCAGGAGGTACGAGCGCAGTGCTCCGTCTTGCAAACGTTTCCGCAGCACCTAGTATGTACCAGGAATTCTCACAGAGTCAGGAAAACAAAGCCCTACTGTGGGTCGCAGCCTCCTGCTGGGAAGCAGTGCAGGGGCCCCTGGAAGAAAGGGGAGGGTCTGGGGGAGGGGTGGGGCCTGGGCTGCAGAAGGGGCGGGGGCAGAGGGGTGGGGCGGGGCCTCGAGGGCCGATGGACTGGGCAGCGGGTATGCTCAGACTCTGCTAGGCTAGGGGCGCTGTTGGTGGTCAGAGACCCGTGGTGCAAGAGGGCACCGCTCTTGTGCGGGGAGCCCGCCTGGGAAAGGTGAGGGGTGTGGCCTGAGGAGGCGTGGCCTAAGGAGGTGTGGCCTGGTGGGCGGCCTGTAGTGAGGGCAGGCAGAGGCTAGAAGTGCCCCGACAGCTAGGGTGGGCGTGGTCTGAGCGTGGCTGTGGGCGTGGCGGAAGGGTAAGGTAGGGATTCTGCTCGGTGGGGAGCGTGGCCGGAAGTGCCCGAAGTGGGAGCTGGCCGGCTTCGGAGCACTCAGGTGCTCCGTTGTCATCTGTTGTCATCTGCACCTCGATCCCAGCTGCAGAGGTCGCGGGGAGGATGTGGGAAGGGCACCCTCGAGGCGTCACTGCACGCGGGCCGGGCAGGCAGAGCTGGCACGGGTGAGCTTCACAGCAGCTTTACACCCTCACGAGCCCGTGGTCCCAGAGATTCTCACCGCGGACTACGCATCCCAGGCCCGACCCTGCCGCGCTGTGCCTTCTGCCTGTGGACACTGGGTCCTGGACACTGATGGGCACATGCCCTGCTTCTCTCGAGGCCAGGGTGTCCGCTGTGCATGTCACTGCCTCGCTCGTCTCTGCTGATGGTGTGCTGTGCGTGGACAGCTGTCCCGTGCCGGCCACTCAGCTGCCGGGCATGTGCAGGTGTAATGTTTGCTCTGGGCTGCCCTGGTTGGTGCTGTGGGCACTGTGCTTGGGGTTCGTGTGCACGCAAGCATGGGCTGCTGGCCTGGTCACCCCAGGTCAGTTGCTGGAAGGCCTGCTGGTGTCCAAGTGGCTGCAGGACTCCAGCCCCAGGCCAGCTCCCTCAACTGTCCAGTGTTCTTGGAGTAGCCGGCAGCAGTGTGGGGTGGCGTCTCACCCCCTTAGACTCGCTCCCTCTGACGGCCCCTGGCTCTGCCCCTCCTGGCAGGGTCCACCAAGTGCTGGGGTTGAGGATGGAGCTGCTCTCGGAGTGTCCCTTAGCTGACACCTGTGGCAGGAACACAGCCGGCAGGGGGGCGGGCCCTGGAGACCTGGGTGCGCAAGCTGGGTCGCCCTCGGGCCTTCTCAGCTCACTGTCTATCTGCCTTGGGCCAAGGCTGTCACCTGGCCAGCCCCAGCTGACAGCTGCCATCTGTGTCCTGGGCTTTATGAGGGTCTCTGGAGCGACCATGTGCTGAAGTGTGCAGAGGAGCAGGAGAAAGGGTCCCCGCTGCAGGTCTGGGTCAGGGCGGCCCTTTGGCCACTGGGTTCTCCGCACTGCTTGTGTAGGCGAGGCCGGTGGGCTCCGGTCCCCTCCCCATGTCACAAAGGGTTCAGTCTCTTGCTGGCTTCTGGGCTGGGCTCAGACCTTGTGCTGGGCCTGGAGCTAGTGGAGGCGCCACCCACGCCCTCACTCTGGGTAGGAACAGCGTGCTCCCCGGGGACAGCTCGGTGGGCCACATGACACCGCTCTCACACACAGCAACAACTGCGAGATGGACGCTGTGATCGTGTCCATCATCAACGGCTTCACCTCTGTGTTCGCGGCCACGGTGGTCTACTCCATCATCGGCTTCCGCGCCACTGAGCGCTACGATGACTGCTTCAGCCAGTGAGTTGTGCCCTGCACCGGGCCGTCCCCCGAACCCACCCACCCCCCTCTTCCCCCTCACCCCACCACCCTCACTCCACCCGGCCCAGTCTACCGGTCAGGCCCTGCCCAGGCTGGCATCAGCCCTGTCCTTCCTCTAGGAACATCCTAACACTCATCAACGCCTTTGACCTGCCGGAGGGCAACGTGACCCAGGAGAACTTTGCGGCCATGCAGCAGTGGTTTAATGCCACCAACCCTGCCATCTACGAGGGGCTCAAGTTCCAGACCTGCGACATGAACTCCTTCCTGTCGGAGGTGGGTTTTGTGGGTGTGGCCTGGGAGGGGTGCAGGGGCTTTGAACTGACCACCCCACCAGATCACCAGCTCACTGGCGCAGTCCCTGCTGTCTGTGGGGCATGCAGTTTCTTCTGTTAAAAAGGAAAGGACTTTTAACCCTGGATCTGAATGTACTAAACAAGCAGGCCAGGTGTGGACTGGTGACTCTCAGCCCTCGGGGACCAGGGAAAGCCAGGAATGGTTGTCACAGTGACTGAAGTTTTTGAGTACCATGTTAATGGTGAAGTCTACAGATCGTGACCTGTTTTTCTTTCTGTGTGTTTGCGTTTTGCTGAACTGGGGATTAAACCCAGGACCGTGGCATTGAGCTATGTTCCCAGCACTTTTTAAAATTCTGAGAAAAGAAAAAATTTTTAAAAATAAAATTTTGAGGCAAGATCTTGCTAAGTCGCTAAGTTGCCCAGGCTGGGCTCAAATTTGTGATCCTACCACTTCAGCCTCGCAGAGGGCTAGGATGACAGGTGTGCTCCACCATGCCCAGCTACCAGTATATTTTGTAGGCCAATGTTCACTAAGTTGAATCTTGCAGTTTGTTGGTCAGGAACCTCCTGTGTTTTAGTAGGTGGTGACCCTTTTATAGCTTGGCACTGTATTTGTCTATGATGGCACTGGTGAAACAGCTGTGCCAGGAATGAAAGATTGGCAGGGCGCCTGGCGTGGCAGAGCAGAGGGATGCTGAGGTTCTCAGCCTAGGGGTGCCCACCGACCCCAGAGAATGGCTGGATGATACTCTGCCACCAGGACCTCTGGCCCCTAGGACAGGCCGGTGCTGGCTGATGAACATACACCCAACCCACGGAGTCCTTCGGGGCCGGTGTCTCGGTGCTGTGCTCGGGGACTCCTCTGCATCCAGGAACTGGGCCAGGTGGGGACAGCTGGATGCCAACAGGAGCCAGTCAGTCTCGGCTGCTGGGGCTCTGAATGAAGCTGGGCCATGGGACCCTCTCGATGTTCAGCTTTTAAAAATGTGCTTTGGGACTAAATCAAAATCCAGTTAGGCTGGGTGTAGTCGCACGCCCCTATCATCCCGGTACTTGGGAGGCTGAGATAAGAGGGTGGCTTTGAGTTCAAGGCCTTCCTGGGCTACAAAGTAAGTTCAAGGCCAGCCTGAACTTCACAGTGAAACCCTGTCTCCAAAGACCAGAAAAAAGATCCGGTTATTCATGAGATGATCCAGATCCACCCGTCCTTGCTGGGACAGGCATGGCAGGTGCACCACTGGGGTGACTGTGTGCTGCTGTGCAGGGCGTGGAGGGCACAGGCCTGGCCTTCATCACCTTCACCGAGGCCATCACCAAGATGCCAGTGTCCCCGCTGTGGTCAGTGCTCTTCTTCATCATGCTCTTCTGCCTGGGCCTCTCATCCATGTTTGGGAACATGGAGGGCGTGGTCGTGCCCCTGCAGGACCTCAAGATCGCCCCTGGAAAGTGGCCCAAGGAGCTACTCACGGGTAGGTGCATGGCAGGTGTGGACAGGCACCCAGGAGGGGGCTGCGTTGAGCTCCCCCTGAGGCCAGCCCTGCCCCTGTTGGCCTGCAGGCATCATCTGCCTGGGCACCTACCTCGTTGCCTTCATCTTCACGCTGAACTCGGGCCAGTACTGGCTGTCCCTGCTGGACAGCTACGCAGGCTCCATTCCCTTGCTCATCGTGGCCTTCTGCGAGATGTTCGCCGTGGTGTACGTGTATGGCGTGGACAGGTAGGAGGAAGGCGACGGCCTGCCCAGGAAGAGCCAGGGCATGGGTTCCTGCTGTGACAGTTGCAGTTTCCCTCCGCACGGGCACACTGGCATCATCTGGGTGGAGAGAGGCACAGGCATGAGGTCAGGAAGTGATCCAGATGGGCACCTGCCTCTTCCCGCTGCCCCCAGCCTGCTCCAAAGACAGGAGTGAGCGAGAGACAGTGTCAGCAACCTGGGGCATCCAGGGAGGAAGACAGCAGCAGGAATGAAAGTGCAGACACAAGAGGCCCCCATCAAGTCTCCGATGCAGCCCGGGGCTGGAGCACAGGGCTGAGAGGACAGCGCAAGGGGGAGGGGACAGCAGTGGGCCTGAGCCTCAGGGTGTCCCTTAGGGAAGGGCTGGGTGCTGCGCCCCCACTCCACGCCCAGGTGCTGGGATGTAGTGGTGGGACAGGGCAGTGCTCGGGCCTCTCAAAGGCCAGGGACACGGGCACCAGGAATCCAGCACCACTCAGCCAGACCTCACAGGGCACCCTCAGCTATGGCTGGGCGGTGCCGGATGCAGCCGCACTTGCGTAATCAAGTGAGTGTGAGCGCTGTGCTGACAGCACCTGCTTAGGAATCCTCTTCCGAGCCCACGGTGCTTGGACAGGGAGTGTCAGGATGGGCAGTGATGGGGCGGTGACAGGGCCGGCTGAGCACTGGGAGGGGCCGTCAGTGTTTCCATGTCCCAGGTCTCGGAGAGGAACATTTAGTGGGAGCTGTGGGGATAGCTGTGTGCCGGGGTGGGGACTCCAGTTCAAGCACAGCAGCCTTGTTGCCACGGTTCCATCTGTGGATGGACCTAGGGCTGCCAGCCCAAGGATGTGAGGACGGGGGGCACAAGGCCAAGGGACACATTGCTGGCTGTGCTCTACAAGACCCCCAGCCGCCCGGGTCCCAGTGTCTTCTGGGTCCCTGCAGGCCCTGGACAGACCCCCACACACACCCTACCTGTTCCTCCTGGTTTCTGCCAACAGGGAATTCCTCTGTGTGGAAGTTGAGCACAGGACGGGTGGGGCGGTGACCCCGTCTGCCCTCAGGAGCTGGAAGGAGGGTCGGGGAGGCAAGCTGGTGGCCCTCCTCCTTCCTGAAGTCCTGACCCCTCGTCATACAGGGGCACTGGCTGCGGAGTCAGGGGCAAGGGCTGCGCGACACCAGGGCTGCCGCCTCCACCCTGTGGAGAGCGTCCGGGCACTGTGGTCCAGTGAGGAGAGCCTCTGGGCTGAGGGCGGCCGGTGACACGCTCTTCTGGCTTCCGCAGGTTCAACAGGGACATCGAGTTCATGATCGGGCACAGACCCAACATCTTCTGGCAGGTCATGTGGAGAGTGGTCAGCCCACTCCTCATGCTGGTCATCTTCCTCTTCTTCTTCGTGATCCAGGTCAACAAGGAGCTCACATACAGTGTGTGGGACCCCAACTATGTGAGTGCCTGGGCAGCAGTGCATGGGTCCCCAAGAGGGCAGGAGGTGGGATGGGGCACAGTCCCCGGAAGCCTGGTTCTCCTCCACCCATGAGGACCGGGAGGTGGGCATCACAGGGTGCAGGGGCCTGCTGGCTGCTCACCCCACCTCTCCCTCAGGTGGAGTTCCCGAAGTCACAGAAGGTCCTGTACCCGGGCTGGGTGACTGCAGTGGTGGTAGTTGTAGCTGGGGTGCCCTGCCTGACTATCCCCTGCTTTGCCGTCTACAAGATCATCCGCAGCCGCTACCAGAGCCCAGCGGACCGCCAGGGGTTGGTTAGCACACTGTCCACCGTCTCCGTGAACGGGGACCTGAAGGGCTGAGTGGGCCCGGCCTATAGGTGCATACATCTGGGTGTGTATGTGGTGCAGGCGTGTGTGGCTGGCAGTGCACATGTGGGTATTGCGTGTGTGCACACATACATGTGTGGATGTGGATGCATGTTTGGGTATGCTTGTGCATGACAGCATGTGTGTGTGTTGTGTGTGCATGTGTGTATATGTATTTGTACACACATATGAGCTTGTGTGTATACAGGTGCATGTCTGCATTTCTGTGTTTCTGTGTCCATGTGCACATATGCATTATATGTTTGAAGATTTCTATGTGCGACATGTAGTGCATGCTTATAGATGCGTTTTGCATGCATAAGTGCATGTGTGTGCATGAGTATTGCACGTGTGCACAAACCTGCATATATGTGTATATTCACACGTGTGGGAGGCATGTGTTGTGCATATAAATGCACGTGCATCACATCTGAGTTTGTTCACCAGGTACAGATGTGTGGATGTATGTGCCCACTGTACATGTGTGAGACGTGTGTTTACATGTTCATGGCACACATTCCCGCCCCAGGGCCCAGCTGCCCTCTGCCCTTGCTCTTGCAGCTGTGGCAGAGCATGGACTGTGCCCGGTTGCCCTGGTGTGGGCTAAGCCAGCCCTGCACATGCCGAGGTCCACAGCCAGGGCCTGCCCCGCACTGCTGCCCAACCCTTATGAGGGGCTGGCTCCTTGGCCCTCACCCTCACCCAGCCCATGTAGCCTGGACCTACCAGCCTCGAGTGGAACTCTTGGTCCTTTTACTGCCCGAGGAGAAGCCAGAGGAGGGCAGGAGGCTCACGCAGAGAAGACTGGGCTGGGGCTGGTTTCGCAGAGGGTGCGGGCCTAGCAATCTGGCCTGTGAATTCCAAGCCATTTAATCATTGCTCCGGCTGCACAGCCGGATGAGCAGCTCAGTGGAGCTCAGCGGCTTTGCTGGGCAGGACCCGCCCCCAGGTTTCTAAGAGGACTCAACCCTGGGCACTTTCTGCCAGAGGCTGGGAATGCTTCCTGAGTCCTGACACACGGCAACCATGATGCCCCAACTCTCGTGCCACCTGGGAGCCATGCTGGGCACCTGCCCTCCCTCCCCCAACCGTCCCAGGAAGCTGTTCTGATTGGACATCCACTCAGCCACCACCGACAGTCATCCCGCTTCCCACGGGAAATCTAAGCTGAAAGTGAATTGGGCTTTCTGGGAATTCATGGAGGGTGACAAAATGGATCCTGGCACCCCGTCCCCTCCCCAGAGACACTGGCCACCTCCTCCTCGGGGAGGACCTCAGGGTCCGCCCTTGAACCTGAGTCCTCACACCAGCCTCCTCTGCCCGCCAGCCAGGCTCCTGGGCACTGTGATCTGAGTCCTGCAGACGGAGGGGGGTGGCTGGGGCCAGCACAGCGTGGAAGAACTCTGTGTGACCCTGACCGCGGCTGTGCAACTGGGCGCCTGTGCTGCCCACCCTGCGGCCTGTGTGGGGGTGGCCCGGCCTGCTGTCCCCAGCCCGGTGTTCTGCGCACATTTGTCCGTGCCTGGGACTGGAATGCGGTTTGTGGGCAGGGAGCATCTCTGTCTGAATAAACCACACTTGTCTCACACTCTTGGCCTGTATTGTGTGGCAGGTGACACCCACGGCCCTCGGGCAGGTGATGGGGGCCGTGCACAGGGGCTGTGGGGGTGGCAGTAAAGGACAACAATGCCCACTCTGTAGGTGACCTGTGGCCCCAGGGCACGTCTCCCTGCCAGGCACCAGCTGCTTGCAACCCCCCTTCCACCTCCCTGTCCTTCGGAATGCTTTCATCACCTGGCCTGTTGCCCATGGGCTGTGCTCCAGGATGCTCGTATTGGAACCCCAGCCACACGTGAGAGGCTGGTGTCCTGGAGCTCTTGGTCCGGCCCTGGACGAGGCACTGAAGGAGGACCCAGAGCTCAGGAGCAGCAGCAGGGCCTCCAGGATGGACCTCAGGCGGGGGGCCTGAGCAAGGGGAGCACTTGGCTCCCATCCTGTGGTGTTTCAGGGCACAAGATAGGGGTACCCCGGCCCCTGGGGCAGCTGGGTGGGAAGGAGCCTCAGCTGGCCCTCCGGCTCCTGTCCACGGCAAGCGTGGTGCCTGCAGTGCATCCAGGCTCGGTACTGCGGCCTTTGCGAGAAGCCACCTGGGAATGCTGGATGGGCACGGGACGCACCTGTGTGACCTCCGTGAGCGTGCGCCACTGTGGTCTCAAAGCTGTGAGCTCAGTTACCAAACAGTAGGCAGGGTTTGCGCAGGTGTGCATGTGTGCGCAGGTGCAACACCTTGTGGTGGGGTTGAACCCAGGGCCTTCGCCCTGAGCTACAACCCGGGCCTTTTAATTTAGTATTTTTTTGAGACAGGGTCTTTGAGTTCTCCAGGTTGGGCTCCAACTTGCAGTGTTCCTGTCTTGGCCCCCAGAACAAACAGCTGTTAGACGCCACCTATATGTGCTCCCTGGGAGCCCAGGGTGGTCCCAGGGAGGGAGGCTGCTGTTGGACAGTGCTGGCTTATGCTGCTGGCCGCCAGCTCTGCTGAGTGCTTGGGTGAAATGTGGGACAGGGGTGGGTACACAGGCGTTGGGGACAGGCCGCGGTTGCATTAGGAACTGGGTCCAGTTACCAATTAACCGAATTCCTTTAAATAAATGAGAAAAGGCATCCAGAGGACAGCTGGCACTGCCCTCTTCAGAGGTGGCCAGGCTCAAGTCCAGCGAGGCATCCACCCACCTGCACCAGCACCCACCCACTGCACCCAGGTGCCTGGCCAGCATGGCCCAGGCCCTGCGACCAGATTTGCTTGTGGATGATGGCGAGGATGGGAGGCCGCGGTGGGACAACAAGTTCCAGTACCTCCTGAGCTGCGTGGGCTTCGCCGTAGGGCTGGGGAACATCTGGAGGTTCCCGTACCTGTGCCAGACCTACGGGGGAGGTGAGTGCCGTGTTTCCTTCTCCTCCTACCTGGCCAACAGAGGAGTCCTGCACCCCGGTGTGCCCTGGACACAAAGCAGGTGCCCACACCCTTCTCTTTGTGGCCTCGGGGGCCATTAGCCCTGGGAGGAACCCGTGACCCTTAGTTTTCTTGCCATTGTAAGTGGGGGACCCAGGGCTGATGTCTCCCCAGGGTCTCAGTGTGGTGTCCAGGGTGCACCCTCCCCAGATCCGTCCTCCGGAGATGGGTCTCCACAGAGCCCAGGCTGTACAAGCCCCACAGGACCGTCGGCCACTCTTTGTTGGCGTTAAACTTGCAGCCTCCAAGAGCCTGTTAACTCCAGAGCGGCACCCTCGGTCACACCACAACATGCACGGCGTCATGGCAGGGGGCCAGGGGCCAGGCGGGCACCACCGCCTCTGAGCTGAGAGGAATGGGGCCCAGTGTCCCCCCTGCTGCGATGGTCCTGATCTGTGGGGCCGGGCTGGGACAGCGGGTCTCCGGCCTCTCAGGGCCGTCCTCCTGCCCCATCACACCTCTGGCTTTTGTCATAGGAACATTCTCCAGATGGAAATGGGGAACGGCCACCTTCAGGGTGAGGCTGCTGCCTCTGGGCCCAGAAACATGCGTGGGCTGGCTTTCAGGGTGGGAAGTAAGCCGGGCCTTCCCAGGGTGACCGGCTGACTCGGGCCGTGGGGTGGAACAGAGCACCGGCCAGGGTCGGGGACAGAATGAGTCCTCTGTGACACGGAGCCGCCTCTGTGAAGTCCAGTTTCTGACTCAGGAAAGGTGTGTGGAGCCCTTGGGAAACGCAGCCACAGAAACGGGACCGCAGCGGTTACCACTGCCCAGGGGGCTGGGCCACAGCACCTGTGTGTGCTGGGAGGCTAGGCACTCCCTCACCCACACCCCACACCCCTGGAAGGAAGAAGGGCTGCTCCGGGCACTGGGCTGCACCCTGGGGCCTCACATTTGAGCCGCTTCCCAGGCATCTGTTTACAGATGTGAAATCGCTTGATCAATTGCGGTGAAACAGTTCAGCCCCCAGTGGCTGGTGCTCTCCCCGCAGGGGTGAGGGTGTCCTTTGAGGCCCTGTTGTGACCATGGATTGTTGAGAAGACACAATTGGTGATGTTCATATTTTCAGTTTGCATGAATCCATCACTACCAAGGGCGAATATTTCCTCTCCCATTTGTAGTTACTCAGCTTTATAAATTTTCTCTTCAAAGAGAAGACTGTCAAAGCTACACTGCAATAAATGTGGCCAGACATTGATGTAAGATCTACAGCAGCCAGAGCGGTGGTGTATGCCTGCAATCCCAGGTACTCAGGAAGCTGAGGCAGCATGACTTCAAGTTCTAACCCAGCCTAGACAACTGATCGAGACCCTGTTTCAAAATAAAAGAAACTTTAACAGGCTGGGGATGTAGCTTGGTAGTAGAGCGCCCCAGGTCCTACCCCCTAAACTACACACAGATGAGGTTTACAGTGATTTTTCACCAAGTGTCCCCCAGTGGGAGCTGTTTATTCGCCTTTTGCACTCTGAATTGAAGCAGTGTGGACAGCAGGTGGGGGCGGAGGGGCTGGATCTCCCGACAGCAGCTGCCGTGGGCTATGGTTTCAGAGCAAGGGCTTCACCATGCTGTGCGCTAAGCTGGCCTGAGCGGCACAGCCTCTGAGGCCGCCTTCACCTCTGCCTTGTGCTTGACGTAGGCGCCTGCAATTGTACAGCAAGTCCTCCTGGTCCCTCCCCGCGAGGACGTGGCTTGGTACCTGTGTGTGTGTGTGTGTGTGTGCGTGAAGCCAGTGTGGCCGTGTAGACACGCCCTCCCCACACCACCCTCCCTCTGCCACCTTCTCGTGGGGCTGGCTGCCCGTGCAGCCCTGCTGTGCCTCCTCTGGCTTTGGCTGTCACAGAACTTCCTTTTCTCCACCACAGTGTCTCAGGGCCTCAGTGTGAGGAGCAAGGGTGTCAGCCAGGATCTCCAGGAGCTTGCCTGGGCACAGCGATCAGGAGACAGTGGTCAGCAGTCGGCAGTCAGTGCCAGCATGTCTGTGGACACCATGTCCTCCTGGCCATGTAGCATGGACTTCCTACTCCGCAGGCTCTGCCTCCTTCTGCTTGCCAAACTCTGCTGCTCTCCCCCCTGTCCTGTGCTGGGCAGCTGGATTGGGCTGGACTGGGCTGAGCCCAGGGGAACTGGCTCCTCAGGCTCACCTGTCAGGGACAAGTGGGGTCTGCTACTTACTAGTAATGACAGGAAGCTGGCTGAAGCCCACATGGGTCAGTGTCCAGGTCAGAGGCTGCCTGGAGACTGTCCCCAGATCTGCTTGCAGGTGGGGCGGGGGATGTGCAGAGCCGTGGTGACAGTTCACCAGAGATGATGCGTTGGCCTGGCCCAGCCAGCCCCAGAGCCTGCGCCATCTGCCTGAGTCCTCCTGCACAAGTGCAGCCACTGCCTCCCTCTACGGGTCCTACTAGGGTTGGCTCGGCAGGCTCCTTCCTGGGGTCAGGGTCCCTGTCCAGCCGCTCTGTGGTGTCCTCTCCTATACCAGCTGAGGGCACAGCCAGCGGGGGTGTAGTCTGTGACACGGCCTTTCCAACTCCCCAAGCATGGGGGGTCCCATCCCCAGGAGAGCCCTGAGACCTGGTGTAGCACGGGAGGGAAGGTGGCTGAGGTGTAACCCAAGGCAGACCCAGGCCCTTGCCCAGTGAGGGTGCAGAGGCCAGCAGGAGCCTCACTCAGTGACCCTTCATTTCTGTAAACTTGTGATTTGGGAACCTGCATTCCTGACAGGAGCTACTTCCCTTCGGGAGTCAATGTCACAGGTGCTGGGCACCTGTCCCCATGTTGTCCCCAGACGCGGGGTCCTAACCCTGGATACCTACAGCCCCAGAGGAAGTCAGTGGGGCCTCCATCCACACACCCAGGAGAGGGCACAGTGACACGTGGCCAGGGGCTCCTGTCCACCCCCCGTGCTTGGTCTCCTGGTCAGCAGTGACGCCACTGAAGGCAAACCAGCATCACCTGGCATTCGGGCACCAGCTGCCCCACTCTCACTGGGGGTCCCCGTTCAGGGCTGCTGGTGACTCTAGGGACTTTACACCTCGCAGGAGCCTTCCTCATCCCCTACCTCATCGCCCTGGTCTTCGAGGGAATCCCTCTCTTCCACATTGAGCTTGCCATCGGCCAGCGCCTGCGCAGGGGCAGCATCGGGGTGTGGACGGCCATCTCCCCATACCTGGGTGGAGTAGGTGTGTGCTGCGGCAGGGGGTACCTCTGCCTGTGCGTCGGGGGGATCCTGGAGACCCCGGAGCTGCATGGAGGAGGCTCTCATTTTATCTGTGTGGCTGTTCACCCTCCCCCGTGTGGGGCGCAGGCCTAGGCTGCTTCACTGTGTCCTTCCTGGTCAGCCTGTACTACAACACTGTGCTCGTGTGGGTGCTGTGGTACTTCCTCAACTCCTTCCAGCAGCCGCTGCCCTGGGCTGCCTGCCCACCCAACCTCAACAGGACAGGTGAGGGACACGGAGGGGGATGGGAAGATGCGGGGATGGGAGCCGGGCTGCCTGCCCCGCTGGGGGCTCAGCTCCCCATGGCTGGCTCCTCACAGCCAGGAAGGGCTCCGGGTGGGCAGGGATGGCACAGGTCCAGGGTCAGCGGTCTTGGGCAAGCGCAGTGTGGATAGCCAGGTCTGTGGCCACCGAGACACTCCCCCACAGGGCTGGTGGAGGAATGCCAGGGCAGCGGCACTGTGAGCTACTTCTGGTACCGGCAGACACTGAACATCACTGCTGACATCGACCACAGCGGTGCTGTGCAGTGGCGGCTGCTCCTGTGCCAGGCTGCCAGCTGGGCAGTCGTGTACCTGTGCGTGAGCAGAGGCATTGAGACCACAGGCAAGGTGAGCTGGCCGGGCCCTCCATGTCCGCATGCAGCCCTGGCACGGCGTGTCCGGGAACAGGTCCTTTGTCCCTGAGGCCGTGGCCACACTGAGGAGCCCCCGGCACTGAGGCTGGCTGTGGTCAGCGGCGGCCACGTCCGCTACCTCCCCCTCGTGGCCATGCAGGACGGTGGCTCCTACTCTCCCTCAACTCTCTCCGGCTCCTCCCCCGGGCTTGAGCCTCACTCATGGCCTAACACGCTGCTGGTGGCGGCTATGCCGTTGTGAGTTTTGTTTTACCCTTTTTTTTAATGTTTACTTTTTTACTGGTGCGTGCGTGCAGTCCACAGCGATCACACGCATCAGGGAGAGCTGGCGCACGGACTCACCCAGTCGTTCTTTCTCCCTTTCCTTCCGCTCCTGCTGCCCCCTCCCTCTGCCTCTCAGTTGTCTTCCCATTTGCAAAAGATCTCCATTTCCTATTATCTACCTTCTGTTGTGCTGGTTGTTTATTTACACCTTAGGTTTCTCGTGAGAGTTAAGCTGTGTGTACGGTTTATTTCACCACAGCATTATGGTCTTGAGGTGACCCATTTTCCTGTGAATGTGCTAGGGCTTTGCTTTAGGCAGACTGTCTTCTAGACACCCCATGGTGTCTGCTGGGGTGGCACTGACGCCGGGGCACTCTAGGCCTGTGTCGGGTACATGCAGCTCCTGCTGGGCAGTGCCAGAGTCCATGCACCAGGCCTGGGCTCCCAACCACAGCCCCTAAGCTTTGCCTGGTCTGCGGCCTCCCGCCCCCGAGCACCTCAGCCCCTGTGGAGGTGACAGTCCTCTCCGAGGCATGAGCAACTGAGTCACAAGAGCCAAGCATGCCAAACCACCGTTTGCGAAGCTGCAAAGTCCATGTGCATGGGGCTGTTCTCTGTGTTTCTGGGGCTCGAATCCAGAGCCCCATATGTGCCTGGCACAACTCACCACTGAGCTGCCCCAGCCCCACCTGCAGCCCTTCGGGTTGGACCCGAGTGAGCGGGACCAGCCTCATCCAGCTGGGGACTGGCCTGGTTGGCAAGGGGATGGAGCCTTCAGGTGGACAAGGTGGCACAGCCAGGGGCTCAACCTTGGAGAATGGGGTCTACAGATGAGCAGGGTGCGGGAGGCTATGGAGAGGGCTGGGCCCAGCTCCCACCAGGGGCCGCCCTATCCCCTGAGGCTGCCTGTCCCAAGGTCAGGGCCGAGTGTACAAATGTGGCATTCACCTGAGCCTGCCAACCCCTGGCCTCACCTGACCCCACCCGACTGCCTGACCCCAGCGGCTGTTGCTGCCCTCGGGGGGTTCTTGACCAGCTGCCTCTCCAAGGCGTTTTTGGGGAGGGCCCATGTGCAGCCCCCCACCTCATTCCTGCAGGCGATCTACTTCACGGCCTTGTTCCCATACCTGGTCCTGACCATCTTCCTCGTCAGAGGCCTGACCCTGCCTGGGGCGACAGAGGGCCTGATCTACCTGTTCACCCCCAATGTATGTGGTCCCGGCCCGGCAGCCTCCCCTCCCGCGAGCTCCCCACGGGTGGTGTGTCCCAGGCAGCGGGGGTGGAAGGGTGGATGGGGCTCCGGAGCAGAGGCAGCTGGCAGGACTGTGGTCAGGTGTTGGGCTCAGGCACATACAGGCCGTCTGGAGGAGAGGGGCACACGGGGCCCAGGGGAGAGTGACCAGGGTTCAAAGGAGACCAGCTGGGCACCCAGGTGTCACACACCCTGCACCAGCCTCACACCAGGAGCACAGGTCTGGGGCCACCTCAAACTGTCCAGGAGAGTCCACTGGCTGGGAGGGGGGCGCTGGTGCCACACATCTGCCCTAAGACCTGGCAGAGGCGTGTGGGTTTGCCCAGGCCCTGTGTGCAGTTAGCCTGTGCTAGGCCTTCAGTTCTGGGGCAAACGCCAAGTGCCAGGTCTAAGGGCAGCAGAATCCCCAGGCTGGTGCCTGCCAGCAGAGCGGGCACAGGGCCCTGTGGCCTCTCCGAGCCGCTCGCCCCCACAGGTGCAGGCTGCCCTTGTCATCTGAGCCGCTCACCCGGCTAGGATGCCCGAAGCAGCTGGGTAAGGCTCAGGAGCAGCCAGGTCACCCATCCAGCCGGGGCAGTTGCCCTGCTGCATAACGAGGCCTCCCCACCCGGTCCAGGTGCAGATTCTCCTGAACCCCCGGGTGTGGCTGGACGCGGCCACACAGATCTTCTTCTCTCTGTCCCTGGCCTTTGGAGGACACATCGCTTTCGCAAGCTACAACCCGCCCAGGTAGGTGGCTGTCGGGGTGTGGACACCTTTACAACCAGGTGCAGAGCCAGAGGGCCTGGGAATAGGCGCCAGGTGCTTCCCTCTCAGGACTGATGTGGGACGAGGGGGCCACCCGCTGTGTGCCGGAGCTAGGGCTCAGGCATCCCAGGACAACACAGCAAGCCTGTCCCTGCCGACGCCAGCCGGGGCCTCAGGGCCAGGATCGAGGCTCAAGCGTGTTGATCCCGAAGCCACCAGGCAGGCTGCAAAGAACAGTGCTGCTCACCGGGGGTGGTGCAAAGTTAAAGGGAGCACACTCGCCATAGCAACCTGGAGGCTGCAGAGGATGAGGAGGGGCAGTTACCTGGGCAGAGGCAAGGCGGCGAGGCAGAGTGTTCTGAGGCCCCGTCCGCGTCCGAGGTGAATGAGTGTGGGACCAGGCGGGCAGATGCTCGGGGCGGTGTCTTGAGCCAGGCTCCTGGTCCTGCTGCCAGGGCCAGGGTGAGTCCTTTGCTGAAGTTCCTGTCAGTCATTCATGAGACCACCACTCTCAACCTCCTGGCTTTGCTCTTTTGGGGGTTACTGGGAATCAAATCAGGACCTTGCGCTTGCCAGGCAGGCGCTGTGCTGCTGAGTTACATCCCCGGCCTGTTCTGCTTTTTTATGGTCGACATGAGCAACTCCATTTCCATGACAACTTTCACCTTTCATTCACACCGGGCACGACACCCACCAAAAGCTGGGTAACACCCGGCCGTGAGAGCACATACTGTGTCCTGCCAGTGACCACCTGGAATAGAGCGGACGCCCTGTGTGCCCACATCACTGCCAGCTGACACCGACTGGAGGGGGTGCGGCAGGCTTCAGGGTGACAGGGCGGGAAGCCGGTTGTGTCCACAGCACCCCAGATGGCCAGTGCTTGTGTCCAGGAACAACTGCAGGCGGGACGCCGTGATCATCGCCCTGGTCAACAGCATGACCTCCCTGTACGCGTCCATCACCATCTTCGCCATCATGGGCTTCAAGGCCACCAGCGACCATGGGCAGTGCCTGGACAGGTGTGCACTTCCTTCAAGCCCACGCAGCAGCGTCTGCCCCAGACCCTGAGGGTGAGGCAGCCTCTTGGGGTGCATGGGTGAGCGAGGGCCCTGCCACGTGCCACCAGAGTGGGCACCACACACCCCGGGGCTGGTGCCACTAAGCCCGCTGGCCAGCCTCGCCATCTTCCAGAAACATCCTCAGCCTCATCAACGAGTTCAGCCTGCCGGAGCAGAGCATCTCCAGGGACAGCTACCCGGCCGCACTGCTGCACCTCAACGCCACCCAGCCGGGGAGGGTGGCCCAGCTGCCGCTGCGGGCTTGCCGCCTCGAGGACTTCCTGGACCAGGTGCCTGTGGGCAGGCCGAGCGGCCGAGACCCCAGCGCCCCTATGTCTAGGGGGGGCCCTGCTGGTGGGTCAGGGGCCAGGAAGATGGGGAGGCACAGGCACCACTGGTGGTGGCCAGGGCTTGGCTCATGGGGGCCGTGGGCCTGGGACCCGGGCAGGTTGCACAGGTCCTGAGGCCCAGGACCCCCTCCCTGTTGGCAGAAGCTAGGCGAGGAGAATGAGCCCTTGTCCCTGAGGGCTGGGCTGGTGCCCACAGCGAGGCCGCGTGTGTTGCAGGGAGCCTCGGGCCCTGGCCTGGCCTTCATCGTCTTCACCGAGGCCGTGCTGCACATGCCGGGGGCCCCCGTGTGGGCCGTGCTCTTCTTCGGCATGCTGTTCACCCTGGGGCTGTCTTCCATGTTCGGGAACATGGAGGGGATCATCACGCCGCTCCTGGACATGGGCGTCTTGCCACGGTGGGTCCCCAAGGAGGTCCTGACTGGTGAGTGGACCCCCGGCCACCTGCAGGGCCTGTTCCCAGGTCCAGCCCCCAGGCCCTCTGCCCACTCTGCTCACTGCCCAATGTCCTGGCCCTGTGGGAGGCTGAGCCAGGCTGCTCCACACGGGTACCTGGTGGTCGGGAGGTGGGAAATGGGGGTGAGGGAGACAGGGAGGCCCTGCCTGTGTGTCCCCACCTCCCCACTGTCCCCAGGGCTGACCTGCCTGGTCTGCTTCCTCTCGGCCACTTGCTTCACGCTGCAGTCCGGAAGCTACTGGCTTGAGGTCTTTGACAACTTCGCAGCCTCCCTGAACCTGGTCACCTTCGCCTTCCTGGAGGTGGTCGGGGTCATTTATGTGTACGGCATGAAACGGTGAGCTGCTCTCCTCCCGGCAGGGTGGGTGGCATGGGGCGCTGTGAGGCCCAAGAGCTCAGCCTGGGGTGCCCATGGAGGCAATGGCTCCTGCCACTCCCAACTGCCCTCCGAGGGCAAATGTCCACTGGGCACACTGGGAGCCCGAGCCCATGTCCTACACAGGTTCTGTGCCGACGTGGAGTGGATGACCGGGCAGTGGCCCAACATCTACTGGCGGATGTCGTGGCGGGCGGTGAGCCCCCTGCTGCTGCTGGGCATCCTCCTGTCCTACATCGCCCTGCTGGTCCACAGGTCACCCAGCTACAAGGCCTGGAACCCCCAATACGTAGGTCCTCCCTGCAGGTGGGGGCCTGGGACCTCGGGCATGGCTGGCAGGGAGGAGGACTCATACGTGGATACTCGTGCCCTGTTGGTGATGAGGCCTTGCCACTTCTGGCAGCTGGAGACATAGGCCCACTGTGAGGCCTGTGGCCACCAGGCTCCAGGGTCCCTAGGGGGTGAGGTCCAAGACATGGGTGAGGTCCTGGGTCAGGAGAGTGGGGACCTTGCAGTCTGGGCTCCAGGGCTTCCCAGTTGCCTCCACCTCCCTCAGGGACTGGGCCTCATCCCACACTTGCTATGCACTGGGGAAAGCAGGGAACACTGCTTGCTGTTGACAGTTGGGTCCCCAGAAGATCCTCATGCCCATCCAGCTTGGCAGAGAAGGACACAGGGCCTCAGTTCAGTGCCCCTCCTGGGGTGGCATAGAGCTTCTCTCCAAGGCTGGGAGAGGCAAGGGCAGGGATGGGGCCCCCTGCGAGTCCACACAAAACACCAAGGCACTCAGGGGCATCTGAGAGGAGCAATCAGAGTGGGGACCATGCAGCCCAGGCCGCATCTCCACGGCTCCCTGCCACTCTCGTCTCTACCCAACTCAGAATGTGGGTGCCCTCGATCCTGGGCTCAGGAGGGGAGGAGGGGTGCTGCTGACCCATGCCAGTTCCAGGGGCCAAGGGCCCACCGAGTGCTCCTGTGGCCCGGATGAAGCTGGCTGAGCATGCTCTCCTGTCCCACAGGAGCTGTTCCCGTTGCAGGAGGAGAAGCTCTACCCCGGCTGGGTGCAGGCTACCTGCATGCTCCTGTCCTTCCTGCCCCTGCTGTGGGTCCCAGCATCTGCGCTGGCCCAGCTGCTGGCCCGGCGCAGGCAGGAGGACACGCAGCTGGACACTGGCCTGAAACCGCAGGACAGCGGTGGTTGCTGAGGGGCCTGGGGCCAGGGCAGCTGGGGTGGGAACAGGGACTGCCCAGCCTGTAGCCACTCAGACCCAACCCCATTACATGCTCTTCACTGAGTGAAGCCGTGTTGTTGCTGCTCCCAACTGTGACTGGGGTCCAAGGTGCCCCAAACAGGACTTAGAGACTCCTGGGAACTCTAGGTCTGCACAGCAGCAGTAGTGCTTGACACCAGCCCACGAGTCCACACCACCTCAGGGGTCCACGCTGACCACGCAGCATCTAGGGGTCCCAGCTGGAAACAAGACAGGGGTGTCCCACTGCCTGCAGGGGCTCTGCGTGGCAACTGCAGGGACCACAGCCCAGCGTGGCCCTTGAGGACAAGCTGGTCTCAGAGGGAACTTCAGTCAGCAGGTGCCTGTCCTTCCCAAGGGGACAGCATGTCCAGGAGCATCAGAGGGGTCAGGGGGACTGTTCCTACTGGGCCACAGGCTGACAACTCCTGAAGCTATTTCTGACAAGCCCTGAACACTGCTGCTGTCATTTTCCAAAGTGGCTGATTTTTGTCTAAGACAAAACAAATGGGCTGATGGCCAGCGAGGTACCCATATCTCAGGGTCCAGTGCACCACTTGTTCACTCGTTCCCTCCCAGGTGCCCCTCCTCCACGCCAAAGCCGCAGCCGCAGCCCCTGCTTGCACCCTGGGAGTTGTCCCCACCCCGGCTCCTCATTCCCTTCCTCCCCATGTTTGTGCACAGGGCCCTGGACACGCGTTCACCTGTCTTGTGCCGGGCAGCACAGCTGCAGACCACCTCAGTGCCTTCAGAAAGCGGTGGTCGGCGCTGTCCGTGGTGCTGGAGGCCAGGCAGCGGGGGGCCAGGGAGGCTGTGGGTGCCAGGTGCGAGGCTGGGGGCAGGCGCCCAGCCCAAGTCCAGCCCAGACCCCAGGGTAAACAAAGGCACAGCTACAGCTGCCCACCTGCAAGGCATTGAGCTAATCCCAGGCGTCCCCACTCAAGCACACCTAAGCCTTGGAGGGGCATCCTGTAGTGTCCTCTCCCATGGTCACCACCCTCCCCACGCCCACTGAAAAGCGGCCGCACGTGAGGGCAAGCATGTTGCAGAAGGGACTGCTGCATAGGGCCCCCGTCCCCAGGCTCAGGTGCCACCTTGCACCTTCAGCAGCACACCATGCCAGCAGCCAGCCTGGGCCACCACAACAGACATGAGATAAACCAAAGGGCACGTGGTAGCTCTCGGGTGGCCAAGCCCAAGGGTGGGCACCAGGCTGCACTGGACCCAGAGCCCACTGACTGGCTTTGGTGCCCTTCTCAGGGAGCGCCTCTCCCGGCTACCCTAACAGCCTTTCTGGTTTGTGAGCCAAGAGAAATCCCTCTTGAGTCTGGACATCACACTGCAGGGGAGGCTAGCTGAGCCTGGGGTGTGCGCAGAGGGGCAGGGCTGTGGTTGACACAGGAGGGCGAGGGAGGGTGCCTGGCAAGTCCAACGTGCAGATACGGGGTACAGTGACCTGCTGGCCAGCACAAAGAAATCGGGGTGTGGCCCCAACAGCGGCCGGGGACACCATGCTTCTCTACCACAGGACCTGTCAATCTTGCCACTGCCCCTTACAGCAAAGGTGGGGGCTGCTGGCAGCAGGGGTATGACCAGCAAGCAGCTTTGGCCAACGTTGTACTTCACGTCTGTGCTACATTTGGAAACCCCCGGGGAGCGGAGTATGGTTCCTGGGCCCCACCTGGTGAGCCTCTTGGTGTGGGATGTCACAGGAGCATGCTGCAGGACAGCGACTCGCTGGGCAGGCTGGCAGCGGTCGCATCTGGGTCTTCTCTGGAGTGTGGCATCTGCAGCCACGGAGTGATGAAGGGGACAGAGGGCCCAGGACACCACCTCCAGAAAACGCCCCTCCACACACTTGGCACAGGATAGGAAAGAGGGACAGGAGGTGACAGATGGGCAGCCAGGTGGCCCAGTCACGGTGGCAGTGTGTCCCCCCCCACCCAACCTATGGCTGACTCAGGGCCACGGGCAGATGCCTAGAGGACCTGGGAGGCTGCCTGGTCGCTGTCTAGGAAGGTGTGGCCAAGGGTAGCGGTGAGGACAGTGAGCAGGCCTGGCTCTGCATGGCCACGCCCTGGTGCCAGGTGTCTGCAGTGTGCCCTGGCCCTTGGGGAACACCTGAGCTGGTCCCTCAGATGGGCTGGGTTAACAAAAGGACAAAGGGCTCTGCACCTGACCAGCAGCAGTGGAGCAGTGGCCCTGCCACCCCCAGCCCTCTCTCCTTCTGAGGACGGCAGAGGGGTTGGGGTACAACCAACAGAGCTGCTGACCAGAGTGACAGCCCTGTGACCACCTGCAGCTGCAGGTGACCCCCCAGCCACTCTTCAGCAACTAGAGCCAAGTGCTCGATCCATGCTGGGAATGCAAACTGATGGCACCATGGGTGCTGCGCCTGATCAGAGATGGCAAACCCCAGGGGGAGGAGGAGCTGGAGAACTAAGGGCCGGCCCTGCCCTGCCACCCTCGGGCTGCAGGAGGGCGACCACGGAGGTCACTACCCAGATGGAATCTCCAAGGTGTGTCATCCTGCAAGCCACAGGTTCCAGAGCCTGGGTGTGCCCGACCTGCCTGGTCAAGCTGTCCCAGCTGATGGCAGAAGGCCTCCATCCCTCCCTCTGCGAGGACCCCAGCCTGCAGCCTCAGCTCAGCCGGAGGGTGGTGGAGCTGCGGAGCCCTGCCACCCAGACCCAAGTCGGCTTTTGTAACCCATGGAGCACAGGTGTCAGAGCCCAGAAGGGTGAGAGGCTCAGCCAGAGCTCGCAGGACATCAGGTCCCCGTGGGCTGCAGGAGCCACCCCTCCCGCAGTCCTGGGCTGGCTGCAGGGTTCACTCAGAATGAGCTCTGTGCTTATTTTCTATTTGCTGCCATAAAAACCACCAAAACCCAGTGGCTTATCACCATCTTATCATCTCACGGTTCTTGGAGACCCCTGAAGTGTGTCTCATCACCAGCTGGCTGGGGGAGCCTGTACTCAGTCCAGATAAAAATCATGAACTGGCAAAAGCGCAGCTCTCTTGATGCTAGCAGCTTGGTCCTGAATGCCAGTCGTCCCTGGCCGTCAATGCTACAGACGAGTATCAGCGCCCGTTAGCTCTTGGTGTTCTGGCTCTAAATCCCAGCCATCTCCACCGTGCCTCAGCAGCCAGGGCTTGGAGTCCTCGTGGGGCTTCCTGGAGCTCTCCCAGCAATGCCCGCTGTCTCTCTGGGGATACCTCTGTAGTCTCCGCTGTCTGGAGCCAAAGGTCCTTAGTATTAGCAGCCCTCTCAGCACAACCTCATCACACTACTCCCCAGTCGTGTAGCAGCAGGACTGCGTGGGTGAGGCTTCTCGGGGACCTGCACCGCAGCACAGCGGACAGGGCGTGGGGAGCCCTCCTGGAGTGGCCCTAGGAGTATGAGGGGCACGGCTTACGCCGAGGAGCAGGCCTGCAGCGTGCCGTCCTTGGATCTGTCTTAGAACGGCAACTTCCGAAGTAGTGACACAGGGCACCTGGAGGTTACAGGCACAGTCGTCTGACTCAGGCCTGCTTTTCAAGCCCTTGTGGACATCTCCCAGAGGGGCTGTGGGCCTCCAAAGCCTCCCTGCCCCTGAGACTGCCTGGCCAAACCACAGAAGGAGTCTGCCTTCCAGCTCCTGCCTTCCCACGGAAGTGCTGCCATCTGGGAAGAACCTCCCAGGCTGGTTGTGCCGGTTACAGCCCACCAGTGCTCGGGAACTTGGGAGCAACAAGCAGGGCGCAGTCCCCCCCCGGCCCGTGCCACCTGGCAGGTCTGCCACTGCAGGGTGGCAACAGCACCCGCGCTGCGGCTGTCACGCCTGGGGCCGGAGGACCAGGCCTGGGAAGAACGGGCTGGAGGCAGTCTTGGGTGGGCATGCTGGCTGCAGAAGGGCAGTGCTGCCCCCACTTTTCCTGCACCACACTGGGAGGGCTGGACCCCTCACTTGCTCTTTCGGCCTATATCCCCCACCCCCAAGCAGCAGTGATCGGTGGAGTTTTTGCTGAACTCTCCAGCCTTCCGCTTCTATTTCCAGCGACCCGAGCGGATGGCACCGGGCCCACCCAGGCTGAGTCAGGATGGCCTCCCTGTGGCACAGGTGATTGAACCCAGGCAGCACTGAGCTCCGTCCCCAGCCCTTTCTGAGTCAGTCTTGCTAGGTTACCCGGGCTGACCTCAGTCTTGATCTTCCTGCTTCAGCTTCCTGTGTAGCTGCGTGTTCTCACGTGCACGTCAGCACCCGAAATCCCCACTTCTTAAGGTCAGCTGTCAGCAGGCTTCATCCCATCTGCTTTACTCACATTCCCATCAGGCAGCGTCCACAGGCTCTGGGACCCCACCTGGGCTTCCTGGGGGACATTATTCTGTCCCAAGCCGCCGGGGCAGTCTGACATCCACCGAGGTCGTGACACCCCCACCGGTTCCTCGGCCTTGTTCACTGCTCAGGGCGTTGTGCCGACGCTGAGGGAGATCGAGGGAGGGTGGCAAGGAGCCGAGCCCTCAGGGAGGCGCTCCTTCGCGACGCGGCCACTCCCCGCCCTTCGGACCCCTTTGCCATTCTGAATTCTCCTTGGATGCACACACAGAGCTTAACAGGAAGCTCGGATCTAGGGAAGCAAAAAAAATCCAGTTTTCATCCAGCTTTTATTTTCATTCGGTCCTGAGGAAATTTGGTTATCGCCATTTAAGTTTTTATTTTTTGATTTTTGCTCTTCTGGAGTCAAACCCAGGGCCTCACACACACTAGGTGCAGCAGTCAGGGTTTACCAGAGAAACAGATGTAACACAGGAAATAACATGTGTATGAAATTACAAGACTGGCTCACGGTGGTCAGAGTCGGATGAGCAATGTGCAGAGGCCTCCACACTGGAGGCCGAAGGATCCAGGCCAAGGCCTGGAGCTCACTGCAGCGTCCGTGCAAGTCCCTATCAGGAGGTGATGGGACTGCACCAGAAGCTGAAGGAACCGAGGCAGATGCCAAAGAGTCTGCGCTGGGAGCCAGACGACGTCCAAGCTGAAGGTGAAGACTGGAGCTCCTCCAGAAGACAGCAGCTGGTCCGTCCTTCCTCATTTCCCCTTTACACGGCCAGGCATGCAGCCAGGGACAGGTGCAGCTGGGGCCGGCTGGGAGTGAGGGCCAGGTGGTGACGGGAAGGGTACCTACCCAGCAGCGACCAGCACACTAGGCAGTGGCCCCACGCTGCACCCAGCCCCAGCAGCTTCAGACACGATGCACAGAGGACTGGGTGAGCTGAGCCCTGACAGAGGACACAACCATGCTGAGTCCAGACTCTCAGCAGAAACACAAGGGATCCTGGGTGAAGCTGATGCAGAGGTACCTAGCTGGCAGAATGGCCCTGGATCCTTGCAGGAGCCTTGAGTTGACAGTGCCTTGATCCACTGTCCTGTTGGGCGCGCCCAAGCCTCCTGCAGGACTCCCTGCTGTGTGCCAGGCATGCCTCTACTCCAGGAGCCCCACCCTGTTCTGTCCCCACAGCTGCTCGGCCTCTTTGCTGGTGCCAGCAAGCCAGCAGTCCAGGGCCCCAGTGCTCACCCTCCCGGGGAACCTCAGCTGCAAGTGCACTTGCAAGGTGCCCTGTGGACTTGGGTCTGCCACAAGGGCATGGGCTTGGTCACTGGGACACTCTCGAAGCAGCAGTGACAAACAGGGCAACGCCTCACTGTCATAAACCCTGGCGTGAGGCTCACCAGCGGCATCAGCTGGAGGCCTCGTCCAAGGGGCACACACTCTGGCCCTGTCTGCCACGTCCCGGAAGCCACGGAACAGCCCTCAGCTGCGCAGGTGAAACCCAGGCACTGGAACAGAGGGATCAGATTAGGCCTTCCGGGCTCCCGGGGGCTGCTGGGTGGGAACCCTTTCTGTCACCACCCGGCCCTCACTCCCAGCAGGCCCCAGCTGCACCTGTCCCTGGCTGCATGCCTGGCAGCCCCTACCCATGGTCACGCTCCAGAGCTGACGGGAGCACTGGGGCACTGCTCCACTGCAGGACCACACACAGAGCCCCACCCATGGTGAGAATGCAAATTCCTGGGCCCTACCCCACCTCACAACCAGGCTTCCAGAGCTGGTCATGCACTGCTGCCTGGTCAGGAGCAGCCGCACCTCAGCAAGCCGGAGAGGGGCTGTTTGCTCCTTTCCTGGTCCTCACTAGAATGCTGAGAGCCACCCCCGAAACCCAGACCTTCCCAGAGACCAGCAGGTCCAGGCCCAACTCTCTGTAACTCCCTGCACTGCCTCCCACACGAGCAGGACCCCACCTTGCCCACCCTGGGCCCGTGCCACCACCTGTCACCAAACCCCTGCCCTGAGGACCAGCTGAGCCAGACCTCTCTCTGTGATGCTAAGAACTGGCTAAAGCCCACCTGTGTGCCCAGCCTGGGCACCATGTCCCAGCTCTGCACCCACACAGTGCTTTGTCCTGGCCACATGCTCCACGCTGCCTGCGAGAGGCAAAGGAACCCACAGCACTCAGCAGTGGGGACGACGGAACAGACGCGAAGGGATGCAGAGCCGGGACCCGAGCGCCCACGGACTGCGTATTCAATGCCCACCTGCTTGGCCCAGGGGCACGGACGAAGTCAGGGCCAGACAAGGGGCAGCAGGCACACTGCTAGCCCCCCATGTGTGTAAACCCTCCGCTGCCATCCGGGCGACCCTCAAAGCTCCACCCTGGAGAGAAGAGCCAGGGAATTGGCACCCCCTCAGCCAGCAACAAGGAAGCTTCAGAGCTTTCAATGACACCAACAGCCCACTGCAGCACCGTGCCCTGGTTCACCGCCACTGCCATCGGCTGAGGGTTCAGGAGCAGCCCTGGAGCCCAGGACGGGGCCACTCCCTGTGGCACAGTCCTAGGGCAATGCTGCTGGTCAGTCCCTGGGCCTTGACAGCGGTGCTCCCGCAGACCAGCCAGCGTGGGTCCTCAGCCCCCGTGCCCACAGTGGGAGCCCATCTGCCTCCAAGTGGCCGGCACTGGAGGCCCGAGGCCTGGGGGCTGCGCTCCCCTGAGGAGGGGCAGCCCCCACAAGAGGCACTGGAAAGCCCTTCCCAAACCGTAGCAGTCTTGGGAATGCAACCGACTCCTGGCTGGGCTGGCTCCTCCTGGGACAGGTCCAGATGAAGCTGGCAGAGCTGGCTCAGTCCAGGATGGTCTTGAAGTCCACAGTCAGGGCTGGGTCAGCTAAAGCCTCCAGGGCAGCCATGGTCACCCTGGGGAGCTTCCCATGAAGCCGTGTCTGGGCTGCAAGAGCGACAGGACTCAGGCTCCTCTGGGAGAGGTGACTGTCTTCAGCCAGGCCTGGGTCAGGCCCAGTGGCCTGGGAGGCAGGCAACTGTCTGCCTCAGACAAGGGTCCCAGGGGCCACCGAGACAGCAGGGCAGAGGGGCACTAACTCCTGGCAGGCAGGCCGAGGACAGCTGGCCCAGGAGTTGGAACAACCAAGGCAGAAGGTCACTGAGGGGCACACACTGCCAGGCACCTGGTGATCAAAGACCGGGGCAGGGTCTGAGGAGGGTGCTCCCCACGCGTGCTCACCTGTCCGGAGCGGCCCCAGGAGACACTTGTAGGAGGCACAGTGACGGCCCAGTTTGAGCACGAAAGCCTGGTGGCAGAGCCACTGGGCAGCTTCAGCGGGGAACAGGCCAGTGGCACCTTTGGCCCCAAGAGGCAGTCCTGGGGAGCACACGGAGGCTGAGGATCCGTGCCGGAGCCAGCCCTGCACTCCTGAGGTGCCTGCACTCAATGCCCCTGGCCCGCAGCGCCCATGCAGCCTGGGTTCTGCGGGTGTCACGGTGATTGTGCCCCTTCAAGTGGCCCAGCTCTCACACACCTGCGTTCTTGGCTTTCAGGAGGGAGTAGCAGCACGACGCAGAGTCAGAGATGATGCCGAGGAAGAAGGCGGGGTTCTTGCTGACTGGCTGGTGAAAGGGCAGCTGCAGCACACAGGCGTGGAACCTGGGAGGGCAGAGTCGAGCACGCTCATACCCATGCGCACACGCGTGGCAGGAGCGACGAACGAGGTACAGGGATGATCTCCGGGTTGGAATGCACTCACGGTTTGCACACGCCTGTGCACAAATGGTGACACGTGCATGGTTGTATATACACACACCTGTGTGTACATACTGTGTGAAGCTCGTGTTGTATGGGTATTTAAGCATGACACGTACAAACACGTGTCAGGTATGTCACATCCTCCTATGTGCAGCTGTTGCTCGACAATGCCCTGCCAGGTGCCTCAGGAGTGGGGTCAGTCTCAGCCCACTGAGCCATGAGGGTGCCAGATGTTGCACCCATCGAGCCAGAGCCGAGGGTGTGGGGGCAGGCGCTCAGGTTAAGCCATGCACCATGCGGCCCAACTTCTTCCTCGGACCCTTACTGAAGAGCTGACAGTGGTCGTATGCCACACTGAGCACACCCAGCCCAAGTGTGCAACACTGAACTCACACCCGTGTTCCTCAGCGCCCGCTTCCCCCACACTCGGCTCTGGGAACCGCAGGGCCCTGTGGGAAGGGGCTGGGGCTGGGACGCCAGACAGCAGCTGCCTCCTGTGCAGCCTGCGTCTCCAGCCCCCAACTGCCCTGCTCCAGGCAGATGCTGGCCCCACTGCCGCCTCCAGAGCACTCCCTCCCGTGACTGCCGCCGGCCCCGCAGCAGTCTGGTAGCTGAGGGAAGTGTCCAGGTGACACACGAGGTGCAGTGCGACCTTCAGATTGACCATGCAGCCCACCCTCAGGACTGGCTGAAGACACAGTGTCCTGGGAGCCGCAGGCCTCTAAGCAGCCAGCATGTGGGGTGCAGGGCAGCAACGACATCGCAATGCCTCGACTTCTGCTCCCTGGGACCCCAAGCCCCTCACAGGTTGCACCACCACACCACACCACACCAAGGACGACAGCCCATCTCAGGACCCCAATGGCCAAGGCACTGCCAGGCCTCTACTGCCCCCTAGTGGTCACGCTCAAGCCCCACCTGTAGGCCTGCAGCAGGAAGATCTTGTAGACGTTGATGAGGACGGTCCGCAGGCTGTTCACCTGGCCACAGAACAGAGTGTCAGCAGGGCTGCGAGGCGACGCCACGTTTTACCGTCACACAGGGAGAGCAGGCCGTGTGCGGCAGAAGCCCTCTCTCCTGGGAAGCCCAGCCAGGGTTCACCGGGGGCTCTGCCACCAAGGGGACGGAGCAAAGGCAGAGTCACTGTGGAAGACTCAAGGGCTGGGGCCCCTGTACCTGTGAGGAAGGGTACTGGGGCTGGAAGGTGGCATGGACCTGGGTGAGCAGCCAGGCGACCATGCCCTGATCACACACAATCGCATGCACCCCCACGCCCTCACACTCACTGCACGCACGCCTTGTACACGTGCACAGGGGACACCCAGCCCTGCGAGCCCAAGGCCTCGCGGTGCAGACAGAGGCTGCTGGCACTCACCTGCAGGTCCAGGAAGAGGCCGTGGCACTTCAGTCGCAGGACCGCCAGCAGCTTGCGGCGCATGTTCCATCCCGCCCTGACGCCGTGGTCAAAGGTGAGGCTGGCCCTGATGGAAGTCCGGGCGTAGCTGCAGCACAAAATGGAGTGTCAGGGCCACAGTCCACTCCTCTGCAAGGCCAGCTGGTGCAGGAGACATGCTCTGTTGCTTCTGGCATGGCATGACCTGGACCCCAGGCCACAAGTCTTGGGGAACTGGTGGCAGCATCAGCTGAACACCAGGCCTGGACCAGACTGTACACATTCAGTCACCATGACAAATGAGGCCATCACAATCACATGACTCAGCCAAAACACTAATCCCGCAGGAAATCACAAGGTCAGCAGCACCCCATCCCCAGGAGACAAGTCACTTTCCCGGACAATGCCTGCAGCCCAGCGCTAGACGTCTGCTCGACACTCGCTGGGGCGTTTTCATGCCCCGCAGCCAGGCGGTGAGGCTTGCACAGGACACAGACAGCAAGGGCGGCTTCCCTGGCCTCCAGCCCTCTGTCCTCACACAACGGCATGGCGTGTCCAGTCCACTCTGAGCCGCACCCTCCACACCCAGCCTGCGCATGCCGTGGGCTGGATGCATTCTTCGTGTCACTAATCCTCTTGGGAAACTCGATGTGGACAGACACACTGATTGAGCCCCTGTGGTCAGGTGCCTGTCCAGCCGTATCCATGGGGTGGTGTGCCCAAGCTCAGGCACTGGAACGGTCAGGGGAACCTCTGACGTCCTGGTCACTTCTCCAGAACCCACTTTCAGGCATGGAGACACTAGAAGGCTTTCAAGAGATGCCACCCCATGGGCTCACTGTGGCATGCATGTGTATGATGTCCTCTCCTGCAGCTCAAGGCGAGCTGCTGCCCCAATGCCACCTTCCCAGCTGGCCCGGCCGCTGCCCTGGACAGGCATAGAAGGCTGAGGGTGGTGTGAGGTAGGATCTAGAGGTGATGGGGTCACACCCCACACTCCAGTGACCAGGAACACCATGCAGCTGAGCCTGTCTGCTCAGCCAGTCTCAAGGGCTGCCGGCTGGAGACAGACGAGGCAGACTGCCAGGCCAACATCCCGTGGGGAAAAGAGGTCAGAGCAACTCCCCTCCCGCTCAGACGCCGCTGTGCCCCTCCCAACACTGCAGCGCAGAGCACAGCCTGTCTCCTCCAAGTCTGCTGTTCTTTCTCCCGCTGTCACTTTCATTTGTGTTCAAATCCTTTCCCACCAGGATTTGTTCTGGTTTATGCAGCAAGTGAAAGACACAACTTCTTTCCCATCAGCTTTCTTTGGAAAAAAGATCAACCCCTTTCTCAGAGACAGCGACACACAGCAAACCAGCCAGGTGGCCCTCCTTGGCTTCCAAGCCCACAGACCACACCAGCCACAGCGCACAGATGCTTGGGGAAGACCCCGTCTCTTCTGGACATGCCCAGGACTTCCTTGTCCTTCTCCTTAAACAACGCAGCGTACCCACCGCTGACACAGTGCTCAGTGTGGCAGGGGTCACAAGTCACCACAGACGACCAAGCAGGGACACTTTATACAAAGGACGGGACTGTCCCGCATGACACTGTCCTCGGATCCCAGCACGAAGGCCCTGTGAACCCTGAGGGGTGGCTGTGTGACCTCCACTGTTCTCTCGTCCTGATGGTTGGTTTCCTCACACGCTGCCACCCTGGGCCGTGGTCTGAGGTCGAGTAAAATGCTGCTGGCTCTTTCTTCTTCAGATACTCCGGCCATCTCACCTGAGGGCCCTCCTGTCCCAAGGGAGCACTGTGTCCTGGGCTCTGGCTGTGAGGAGGGTCAGTGTGTGCGCAGCACTGCGGGGCTCCCACGTGGCGATTCCAGCATGGGCTCCGGAGTGCCACACCTGCCCTCCCTCTGCACAGGAGGCCACTTCCCGGGACCACTGTGGGGGCAGCAAGTGCAGCTCTGGACGACGACGACGACGACGACGAGGACAACGAAGCCCTGACTACTGGAGTCACCAATGCGAGGAGCAGCAAGGCCGTCTCCCACCATGACTTTTACATTTTCACTCATAAAAGCAACAGCGTGGACTCTTCTGCATCTGATGGGCACTGGGACCTGGGCTCAGAGTCCGGCTGCGTCTCTGGGGGTCACATGTTGCACCCCAAGTCTGTGCAACGTCCTCTCCAGGAATGGAAGATGTTGGTATGTCCCCCAGATGGGACGGTCACTCTGGCTTCAGACACCCTGGGTCCATGGTCAGCTGCTGCAAAGGGGACAAGGAAGGGCCAGCTCACAGTGTCCTGCCAGGGTGCGTACCTGGTGTAGTCGCAGCGCACCTCCAGTGTCCGTGTGTCCAGCAGCAAGCCACACCAGGGGAACAGGCAGTGTGCAGGCAGCTGCAGCGGGGTCGGGCCGCCCAGGCCGCCATCCTCCATGGAGAAGTTCACCAGGGTCTTCTGCAGGTTTAGCATGCAGCCGTACTCAGGGACGCCCCGGACAAGGGCCCTGTTGAGGGAGGGGGAGCTGCAGGATAAGAGGACACCTGGGACCTCGAGGCACTCAGTGCCGCTACACAGGTCCCCAGATGGCCCAGGTGCAGAGCTGAGCCAGGCAGGGCCTCAGCAGAGGCAAACAAGCCCCACTCTGGGCTCTGGTAAGAAGTCAGGACCCAGCAGGGAGCCAGTGAGAAAGGAGGCCAGGGCTCAGCCAAGCAGGCACCAGGGGACCTCTGATGGGCCTCAGGGGTCCACATGGCAGTGCCCTGTCCGCAGTGACCTGCTCACTCTTGCCAGGGCTATGGGCCCCATGCCAACCCACACTCCCACGTGGGCAGCACTGAGGGCTGTGTGGCCAATGTCCGCCTTGGTTGGCTCTAAGGAAGGGACCCTTCCGAGCACAGGCCGCCTCTGTGAGCTCCCCCTGTGCCTTCCCTCGTGGCGGGGACAGTGCACACCCCACAGACTCTGCCCCACACGCTCACTACCACCACTGCACCGACTTGCACTGAATCTCCCGTGTGTCCTCCTTGGCCCACCAAGCTGTCCCGCCTCCTGGGGACCTGACACCCACCCGGAGCCACATCCTGGACCAAGACCCTCAGGCCACAGCTGCCCCCAATTCTCTGCAGTGTCCTCTGTCCCCACAGTCAGCCCTGGGGCACTGGAGCCCTGTGGACACAGCAGGCCCACCATGGACCTGATTCCATCACCTCACCAAGCCAAGCAAGCGCCACCTGTGCAGCCGCTGGGCCCTAGGGCACGGAGGACAGCACAGAGCCCAGTGTGCCAGTGGGCTTCGCTGCAGACGCCCATGGCTGCTGGACGCTCTCAGGCAGCGACGGTTGAGAGGCTCACTTGGAGCAAGTCCAAGTTTCTCCTCCCTTGCAAAGTCACCCGAAAGGATCAGAGCCGCAGAGCTGCAGGGTGTGGGGAACGAGCTCTGCTCTGCGGCAGGGTCACTCAGCCTGATCAACTCTAAGGCCAAGCCTGGCGTAGCCAGTGACCCCAGTGTGGTCCCCACACCGTGGGCCTTTCCTGAAATCCCACAACCGACCCCAGTATCAAATCCCCACCACTCAGTGGGGCCTACGCTGCTGGGCTGAAGGAGACACCAGCCACTTCCTGTGCTCAGTGCGTAGCAAACCTCTTACCTGCTGGGGTGGCCACACCCAGGAAACGTGCAGGCCCTGGGGTGGGAACTGGTCTCTGCAGACAGCCCTTAGGGACGAGCTCTGGGCAGGGCCTCCAGCCACTGAGTGGCTCACTGAGACCGTGGGGGCTGCACCACCCCTTGGGGCCCATGGACACCCCCAGGCCTGGCGGCAGGGACGCTGCCAGCCTTAGAGCAGCTCAGTCCCGCCACACAGTTCGTGAGCGACAAGAGTCACGGCTGCATACGGCAGTTGTAAACTTGGGGAACGGGTGGAATCCTTACCCAAGGAAGGCTTTCGCCTGGGCCAGGTGGGGGGTCACCAACAGGAAGTCGTCAACCAAGCGCAAAAGCAGCCTGCAACAAGGAGGCACAGGGGGGCTTTGTGTCACACGCCAGACGCAGACTGTCAGGGATCGAGCATCAAACAGTCAAACCTCGGCACTTACACAGGGAAGAAAAAAAGGCTGTTCCGGAAAGAGCCTAAACAAATACCCTAGGTTCCTTCACCTGACATCAATGTCCTGCTGGCCAAAGCAATTATCTGACACCCAGAGCAGCCCAGGCGTGGGCTCTGCATGGGCCACACACCGACATAAAACTGCCCTTTCAAATTCAGCCTGGAGAGCGCCTGCCTGGCAAGCACAAGGTCGTGAGTTCGATTGCTGGTACCGGAAGAAAAACAAACAAACAAACAAACAAATTAAAAAAAAAAAAAACAAATTCAGCCTGGAGGAGAAAATGACTGAGCCGGGGCCTGGCGGAGCCGGGCGTCCTGCCCTCTTGCAAGCCTCGTGAGGCCTTCCCCACACAACTGCGTGGTCCTCAGCCCTGTCCGGGGAAGTCTGCACCCCCCAGGCCAGGTGACCACAGAATGACCCTAGGGTCCAGTGTCCCAGGGGACCCTGCTTCAGGCCTTCATACCAGCAGATGGCCAGACAATGTGGTTGCACTGACTAAGTTAAATTTTTTTTTCCTTTTACCCAAATTTATTCTAACCTGGAACAAGTGCTGTGTTAGAACTGAGCTTTGAAGGACACCCAGTAAGTCCAGAAATGGGGATGACTGCTGTGTGGGCACCTGCTCCCTTCCCGCCCGCCTGCCTGTATCTGAACACAGTATGGGGCTCCCACTGAGGTCAGCAGATATCATCAGAACCCCTGGGAGCCCAGCTGCACCAGCACAACCTGACATGCAGGAGCATCATACTGGGGGACTCCAAATCTCAGTGCCAAAGGGTCAGGCACTCGCCTGCACATGGGATATGGCCTAGGTCTTGCCAACAGCTGAGGCAAAGGTGCTGGGAAAGACATCCTTGAACCACCAGCCCCACCCCCAAGGGACATCTGGGGGTGTGGAGGGACCCGCTGTGTGTCTTCCTCCTGTGTCCTGCAGCCCGCAAGCCTGACTACCCAGCCACGGGCCCACACAAGGCCGCACACCACCGCCCTGGCAACACCTGGAGAAGGGGTGATGGCCAGCCTGGTTCCTCAAGACAAAGCGACTGCAGTAACCCAGCGCCCTGCAGTGGGGAGCCCTTACCCGTCCCGCTGCACCTCGGCGAACAGCACGTTCTCCATGTCCCCGTAGCAGAGGCTGAAGAGTAGCGTGGACAGGATGGAGCCCTGGGGGATCCCCCGGCCCTGGACATAGCACCTGGGAATGAGGGTTAGAGGTAGGCAGACATGGAGGAGCTCCCACTCACACCCAACAGACGCGCACATGCGCACAGACACACTGCCAAGTGTGTGCACACGCGTCCACTCATGGCACCAGGACAGGGAGGCCGAGGGGGAGGACAAGAGCCCTGGCCCGAGGCAGGGCCCCGGGCTGGGGCGCTCGGCCTGACGCACCTGTCCCCGAGATTCAGGACGCTGCCTCGGAGGAAGCGCAGGAAGCAGTTGAACAGGCTGCAGCCAGTCTCATTCAAAGAGTAGCTCTGGACAAGCCAAGCACAGAGGCAGTAGGGGGCTGGTGTGAGGACCAGCGGCCACGGCTGGCACAGCTGGTCCTTCTGGGGCTGGGACGATGTCCAGGTCCTGGGTGCTGACTGGGCTGGACACTGGACACTGTGGCCCTGCATCTGGGTGCCTGAGGGCAACAGGAAACTGGCCCAGGGGCCTCAGTGTTGTTTAGTGGGTGTGACCATCCTCCCCCTCATCATTAGAACGAGCACCATGCAGGTTCTGGCAGGAGTCACAGTCAAATCCACCTTGTTCTCCCAAGGGTGGAGACCCCTGCCTGTTCCCTTGAGATCAAAATCAAGGGACAGAGCTGGGTATGGTGGTACACCCCTGTAATCCCAGCACTCAGGAGGCTGAGGCAGGAGCATTGTTGTGAGTTCGAGACCAGCCTGGGCTACAAAGTGAG